AAGTGAAGTCTTGAGTGATTGTAACTGTGCTACAACTGTGTCTATTTCACCTTCCATGTTGATGATATATAAGTTTATTAATGGATTTAAATATAGCCCAATGGATTAATATGTCATGTAATAGATCAAACCTTTCTTATTGTTTTATTGAAATAATAATGTATTAAATAATGTAATTTTTTAAATTAAAAATATGATACAATTATTTTGTTAATTTACACTTAGATTTTGGTGTGTTGTTTGTGTGATGTTTAATTTTTAATTCAGTTTTGTTGTTTCTAATTTGCTTTGTTGTTTTTAAAATGATGAGGTTTTTATTGAAAATAATGTTTTGTAAATTCAATGTATAGAACTAAACTAAATTAAATTAAATGATGAAAAAAAATATTAAAATTAATTATTAATATATTATATTTTATTTTTTATAATTGTTTGGTAGATTTAATAATACTATTAACTAACATATATAATATATATAAATTATTAATGTTCAAAATTTTAGAATTGCAAAATTAACTAAATTGCAACTTAATTTGTTTTTATTTTTTTTCTATTTTCATCTCATTTTTGAAATTGACATTCGTTAGTTTAAAATAGTATTACAAAATTATGACCAATGATTGGAACTTAAAATAATTTACAGTTTTTCTTTTTTCCTGGTTATTTCCACTAAACAATACTCAATGTCAAAACCTCAATTTATATTCTCATTTTCACTATTTCTTTCATTTCCAAATATTAATAAGTTTATAATGGAAAATAAAATAAAAAAATCACAAAAAATAAACTTTATTTTTCAACACAAAATATATTATAAATACAAATCAATTAAAAAAACCTACAAAAAAAAGTTCTCATACCCACCAATTCAAAACCCAAAACGAAAAAGAAAAACTTCTCAAAATCTCACAGTGATGAAACGGCAAGCAGTCAACAATCAAAAGAATTATGTGAGTTTTCCCCGAGACAAGCGTTTAGATTCCATTAAAAAATTTCCAAGTAAAATATACAATTCCCAAACCGATTCCATTGAGTTTTTACAATTTGATATCGAATACGTCACTCGCTTAGTTGAGAAATCCGAGCGAGTACGTCCCGACCCACAGAGTGATGGATTTGAAGAGCCTGTGTTATACATGTATGGGTGCACCTCTTCTGGTGATTCTGTATTAGCCCGAGTCACTGGGTTCAAGCCGTATTTTTACATATCCGTCGACCATTTATACACTGAGTCCGAATTGAATGACCTCAAAGTCTCAATGAATAAAGCGCTCCACGTGGACGTCCAAGGAAATACCGATGATGATCAATATGTCTTATCAGTCGAAGGTGTTACCCAATATCACTCCATCATGAATTACACAGCGTACAAGGACGATTTCTTCGTTAAAATAACACTCCGTATTCCTAAGTACGTTCCCATGCTTCGACATCTCCTCAACGACACCACTCGCGTTTCAAATCGCCAATTCCAGACCTTCGAGGCGGACATTCTCTTTGTCCTGAGGTACATGATAGATGCTGGGATAGTCGGGTGTAGTTGGGTTAAAGCTCCTCCAAAAAGGTACGTTATAATTCCGGACTCCAATCGAATTTCGAGATGTCAATTAGAGATCTCCTTAGATTATCGAGATCTGGTCAATCTAGGCTTTACTGGGGAGTACACTCGTATGGCGCCGTTACGCATCTGTTCCTTTGATATCGAGTGTGTGTCTGCGAAGGGGACTTTTCCAGTGCCTGAGAAAGATTCCGTGATTCAAATTGCCAATTACGTTGTTGAGCTTGGGAGTGAGAAAGTCATTAATAAGAACGTCTTTGTACTAAAGGGGTGTACACCCATACCAGGCGCGACGATCTTTGGATTTGATACTGAGGAGGAATTATTGAAAGGGTGGTCTGACTTTGTGAATGATATTGACGTCGACATCTTCACTGGGTATAATATCATGAACTTTGATTTTAACTATTTAATTACACGGGCGAACACGTTGAAGGTCAAGGACTTTGGCCGATTCTCTCGACTTCGCAAATCGAATGTGACGATGAAACAAGGGACCTTCCAATCGAAGGCTGTAGGGACACGAGAGTCCTTTGAATTGATTGGATTAGAAGGGAGAATACCTTTTGATATGTTCCAAGTGATTCAACGGGACTATAAATTGAGGAGCTACACACTCAATTTTGTCTCGTCGAATTTCTTAGGCGATCAGAAGGAAGATGTGCACTATAGTGATATAGCAGATCTCCATAATGGAAGTCCAGATGACAGAAATCGAATTGCAGTGTATTGCTTGAAAGATACATATCTGCCGATTCGACTGATTAAGAAGTTGATGAGTCTTGTCAATGGAGTAGAAATGTGTAGAGTCACTGGAATACCTTTGAGTTACTTACTTCCTCGTGGACAACAAGTGAAAGTGATAACTCAGTTGTATCGCCACGCAAATGATAAACACTTTTTAATACCCTTTTACCAACGCCCCAGTGGGGAGGGGGACAAATACGTTGGTGCGACTGTTATTAACCCAATTAAAGGGTTCTATAGAGACCCGATCTCCGTGCTGGACTTCTCCAGTCTGTACCCGTCCATTATGATCTCACACAATTTGTGCTACTCGACACTAATCGAAGGCGTGAAGACTCGCGTTGATGTGAAGAATATAGAAGATCTGAAGACCTCGGGGGAGCAGAGTGATAAGAACGCATATGACCAAATCGTCAAGAAATGCCTTGAAAAGCATTTAAGTCTGGACGACGTCGAATTGTCACCAAATGGAGACTTGTTTGTGAGAAGCAACAAACAGAAGGGCATTCTCCCGGAGATTCTAGAGAATCTGCTGGCTGCGCGAAAGCAGGCGAAGAAGGATATGGCGGCGGAGAAGGACGAGTTCAAGATTAAAGTGCTGAATGGGCGGCAACTGGCGTTAAAGATATCGGCAAATTCGGTGTATGGGTTTACTGGGGCGCAAGTCGGTAAACTTCCATGTATGCAGATAGCTTCATCCGTGACGTCGTATGGACGTACGATGATCGAGTTAACAAAAAACACCGTTGAGACGCATTATTCGATCAAGAATGGGTTTGCGTATGATGCGAAAGTGGTGTATGGAGACACGGACTCGGTGATGGTGAAGTTTGGGACGTCAGACTTGAAAGAGGCGATTCGTGTTGGGAAGGAGGCTGCGGAGTATGTCACGTCGAAGTTTCCGAAGCCGATCAATTTAGAGTTTGAGAAGGTCTTTTGGCCGTATTTGTTAATCTCGAAGAAGAGGTATGCTGGAGTCTTCTGGTGTAATGCGGAGAAATATGATCATTTAGATACGAAAGGGATAGAGACGGTACGCCGCGATAACTGTATGTTAGTGAAGTATGTCATTGAGAGGTGTTTAGACTTAATTCTGCTTGATAAGGAGAAGGACAATATCACTCGAGCAGTACAATTTGTGAAGGATACGATCCGGGAGTTATTACAAAACAAATTGGACTTGTCGATGTTGATCATTTCAAAGACGTTATCAAAAGAGTCGTATGCTGCGAAGCAAGCGCATGTGGAATTAGCGAATCGGATGAGGGAAAGAGATAAGAGTGTCTTAATTAATTTAGGAGATCGAATTCCATATGTCATAGTGAAGTCCACAAAAGAGGCGCGAGCATATGAGAAGGCGGAAGATCCAATGTACGTGTTACAGAAGGACATTCCGATTGATTTTGAATATTATATTGAAAATCAAATGAGGAAACCATTAACAAGGATCTTCAGACCAATTCTTGGAGATAAAGTCAACGAATTGTTTGAAGGAGAACACACCAGATTTGTCGTACAAACAACTCCCGTCGAAGCGTCACCACTCGGGAAATTCATTGTGAAACAAAAGAGATGCGTCGAGTGCAGAGCAGTTGTCAAAGGAAGTGGCGTCTTGTGCGAAAATTGTAAACAGAAGACGGGAGAGATATTAGTAAAGAAGATGAAGGACGTCAGAGAAAGCGAATTGGAGTATAACGCTATTATGACCCAATGCCAGGACTGTATGATCTCCCACCACAGAGATATCATTTGCGGGAAGTTTGTTGCTGAACTATTTATATAAGTATGAAAACTATTAGTTAATAGGTACTGAATTGGATGACAAGTAAATACTCATCTTTAGCCGTGACTGCCCGATTTTCTATATGAGAACAAAAGTGGAAAAGGCTATTAAACAGAAGAGAGCGATGATTGAAGACTTTGACTGGTAATTTACGTTGTAGTCAATGAATTGGTTTGAACCTTGGTAATAGTAAATTTATAATATTTTAATAGTATATTTTAATAGTATATTAAATAGTATATTGATTTAATTTTAATGGTATTTTTAATGGTATTTTTTATAGTATTTTTATAGTAAATTAAATAATAAAAGAACTTAAACTTAAAAAAATCAAATAACTCTATTTTTGCCAGTGTACTTTGTGAATGAGTATATTAGAAGGGTTGCGAGGAGGGAGAACTGTAGAATGAATATGAAGTAATCCATTTCAGTGAGGTTCATAGTCTTGATAGGAAGTGAAGACGAATAAAAGGTAGTAGCGAGGTCTTGAATTCTTTGGAGTAAGTCGCCTATAGTAGTAAAGAAGTCCGAAAAAGTTTCGGCTTGAGAGTCTTGTAAATTATGAATTAGTTCGAGAGACTTTGCAGCGCTATTTATATCCGTTGGACTCTTTGAAGTCTTTTCCATAGCTTTAAGTATTTTGAGTAAGACGGTATTCTTCTCCTTTTCAAGCTTCAGATTTAAAAGTACTTCATCCTTGATACTCCCAAGAGTTTCATAGAGCGCGGTGATGTAACATTTTTCATTGTGAGTGTCTTTGCAACGCTCTTCTAATTCGGGTTGAGTGAAGGCTTTGTTGATCTTCTCCAAATTTAAAGTGTCGAGTTTTGGCTCCTCGACCGTCACTCGCTTCTTTTTCGGAGATCGGATGGAAGTGTCTGTGAACTTCAAATCGAGTAATTGGTGACTGTCAGAGTCATTTCCAGAACTTGCGGAGATCCCAAAGTACTGCCCAATGTTAATTTTATAGACTGCATTTTTAAAGCAATTAATAACATCTTTGCCGTCTTGTTGGAGGTCTAAAGAGACTTCAAAAGTACTTGCTTTGTACTCGAATGTTGCGGTAAAAGGAGTCTCACGATAGTCGCCAAAATAACAACTTTTGGAGGAAATGTCGATCCCATCGTTCTCCCCTTTATAGTGCTTGTTGTTATAATTCATTATCATTTGAGCAGTTGGGACGTCTAATTTGCCGTTTTTAAAGGTGTCAAAGATGATCGAAAGGCCTTGCCACTTCTCTTCAGCACCAAATGCATTGCCAAGTTTGAGTGGCGTCTGCGTAAACCAAAAGGCAATGCCATTCGAATGATTCGTATTTTTTATTGATGAAGTCATTAATAGTTTCATTTCTATTTTAAAACTTTTCATCGAAATCCGTTTCTTCGATACTATAAGCCCTCGTGTGTTGGCTTTGTCTGGAGTAATCTCTATCACACTCTCATTCATTACTACATCACCATAACTTTTCCAATACTTCGAATATGTATCGAACGGCGCTTCTAATGTAAACTCTTGAATATATGATGATGATACAATGCTCGTGAAGAACACTAATAAGAACATCTTTCTTATTAAAAATATTTTGGAGTTCTTAGCTCTTTTTGCAATTTGAATCGTTTAGAAGTCTTCGTTGTATAACATTTTAAATAACATTTTGTTTAACATTTTAATAACATTTTATTTATAACGGATATTTCATTTTCTTAATTTTTTAATTAAAAACTAGTTTGTTTCTATATAAGTTATTATTAGTTATATTAAAATAGCTTATTAAACTATTTTAAAATTTTTCAATTGTTATAAATAAAATGAAATTATTGGGTTATATTAATTATAAAAATAGTATTTAATACTAGTCAAGACAATTTCTATACAAATATTAAACATGAACTATACTTTGAGATTAATAGTATAGGGGTCATATAAATTGATTGTTTTCCATCAATTGGTTGAAGATTTTGGTAGAACTTCGAGAACATAAAAATGTAATTTTTATTGAATAATTACGATATATTGCTTTCCATTAAAAAAGGAAAAACCTAATCTGCACTTTTGAGAAACGGTACAAAATATTAAAAAGTTCTAATTATATAAACAATTTGAACTTTTTATAATAATAGATAAATATAAATAATCTATATTTAAATACAATAAAAATAGAATAACAATAAAACATTAAGAAAAACAATCATTTAATCGACTTCCTTAATCAGTCATACTGTTATAATAATCGACAGTGGAAAAAAGAATCCTCTCAATCTACGATTCGTGGAAGGCAAAAGACCGTCTTGAAACAATAGTCAGTGCCTTCAAGCAATCAGGAATAGCTTTACAGTCTGCTATTTTCGACAAACTTATTGTCCGTATCGTCATGGCGGACTTATTGTCCGTATCATTTACAGACATTGATTGTTTTTTGTTTATTTAGTTTCATTCACAGTTCAACTATTACTTTTTTATTATTATTAAATTGTTTCATTTTCATTATTTTTTACATGATTTATTGTAAAAATATAATTTTTTCGTATCATCATTTAAAATACATGGAAATATGTGATTTAAAAATATTTCACAATAATTAAAAAAATAATCAATAAAATTTTAAAATCGAATGACTATAATACAATATACAATATACAATATATAATATATAATATATAATATATAATATATAATATATAATATATAATATATAATATATAATATATAATATATAATATATAATATATAATATTGTATTTTTAAACACGTGTAAATAAACGTTTATTTTTACAATTCAAAATTAACACTGATTTGTATTTTTCAAGTTAAAAAACATTTACAATTTGGTGTTTTTGCAATATTTCAAAAAGCATTATTTTACATGTTTCGAATTTATGTGTCTGGTATTTTACAATCTACGTTTCAAAAAATAAAGAAATACGAATCTTGATTTAAAAATAATATTTTAAGAGCAAAATCAATACATTTTTATTTTTAAATAAAAACACGATTTAAAGTTCTTTTTAGGATTTTTTCATTTGTGAAAGTTTCGTTTTAAACTTAAATAACAATTGAATATAAACTATACATTGGGTTTTTGATGTTTGTAAACAAAAATAATTTTACAATGATGATTGAAATATATATTTCGAGAAAAATTAAATGATAAAATGTTAATATATTATTAATTGTTATATTAAAAATTAGTTATTTTGTTTAGAAACACGAATTATTGATAAAAAGAAACAAGTTCTTTAATTATTTCTTTTGCTTTTCCAACCTCGCTTTTCTTTCTTTTTCAGTTTTTAACATCAATTTTTTGGTATTATTGGAGCCGGAATTTCTTTCATTTCATCTCCATATAAAAAAGTCTCATACATCTTGAGTAAGCAACGTCGACTTTGCAGACTTTATATGTTCTCGATGAGTCGGACGTGTCTTCAACTTTGCGGTTACAAATAGCAGACTGTAAAGCTATTCCTGATTGCTTGAAGGCACTGACTATTGTTTCAAGACGGTCTTTTGCCTTCCACGAATCGTAGATTGAGAGGATTCTTTTTTCCACTGTCGATTCTGCAAACTCAATCTTCACTTTCAAAAGATCATCGAACAACTCGTTTGTTGGTTTTCCACTTTCTTTCATGTAGTTTTCAAATTCCATTTTGAGGAGTTCATTTTTAGACAAATGAGACTTGACAGCAGAAAAAACACACAAATCCAGTGGTTGGCATAGATGCGACGTGTGTGGTTTGAGGTACAACACATCGATGCCGTTCTTCTTCAGTATTTCAATTGCAGCGTCATGGGCTTTAAAACCGTCCATAATGAGGACAGCTCGCGCTTTGGTGTGGAGAGCCTTCTGAGACGCCTTGACATCAACAACAAGAACACGCTCGACCCATTCTCGAAACAATAAGGAATTCATAAATCCCTTCGGCTGGGTCTTTATTATGGCATGAGTTGACAAAATGGCCAGTACATCTTGGTCCAGAGTCACTCGGCTGGTGATTATGAGGGGGTCAAGTGCGTGCCCATCTGCTCGAATACAACCCAAAAGGGTTATCCTGTCTCCACGACCAGCAACTGGAGTGTAAACTGTCTCGCCGAAAGCATGAGAAAAAATACCGACTTTGAAAGAGCATCAACAAAAAGATCGAACCCGACCTCGTCTAAGTTATAAACTAACGCCGCCGGCTTCCCGTCCACTGCTTTTTTCAGCTCACCGATGTATTCTATGATAAGTTCTTTTGACACAATTGCTCTGGGTGTCTCCAGTAACTCTCCTTTTTTAACACCAAGCTCTGGAATTTTCTTGACAATTTCATACATCTGCTTTGTTGTTAGCGATTTCTCACCCTCTTTAATAAGCTTCAGGTTGACAAAATCTCTAACATCTCGAGGTTCCACTGGCTGTTTCGCCTTTTGAAAAGTTTCTATAAACTTTTGGACTTCTTCTTTCTGTTCCTTTTTCAAAAGACTTGGGCGTCCAACGAGTCCTCCTCCTTTCTTGTTCTCGACCTTTCGAATCTGTTTTTCCACGCTCCTGACACCTCCAAAGAACTCCTTTATATCCGCTTTTTAGCCCCGACGCCAATAAACATCTCCCAGACTTTCAATGACAAGTTTAATTTGGTCGAAATGACTGTTACAACAATTTACTTCTGCCTCGCATTTTCTGAAGAGTTCTAAATACTCTGGATACAACGTAAGGCGAGAAAGCAGACGGGTGTGGTCACATGCAATCGCGGGAATGCCCTTTCCTTCTTTTTTTCAACATACTTATAAGGCTTCTTCTCACTTATTAACTGTGTTATATTTGGTAAGATTGTTTAAACTTAAACATAGAATATATTTTTATTATATAATTATAATTATTTAATGGTTATTTTATTCAAATATGATTATATTATTTTATTATTATTATTTGTTTTTAAACAATATGCATGGTCGAAAACTACAAATAAATTATATTAACTAGTATATTTATATATGCTTTATTATTTTTGTTTTGTTTGTTATGAACAACAAAAATGAATAGTTTAGATTCATTACATGATACAATGTCCAAATCATGTCAATTATGTGTTTATCTGCCATTTTAAAGTGATCAATACCATTAAAAAACGTTCTAGACGTTTTTGGCGTGAAATTAATTTATCAATTTGTATTCATATAACATTAATAATATGATTATTCCACATAAAAGTTACATAACTCATTTGGGCAATATGTATATCTATTGTTGATTGTCTGAAATTATCAAGAATATAGTTTTTATCCAGTTATTTATTCAAATAATAGTAAAAATTAATTGTTATCAACTATAATCAAATTATTATTTTTAAAAATAAAAATGGTCAAATTTAACTTTTTAATCATTCGTTTTTTAATGGTTATAACTGCTCAGTATGGCAATGAGTAAAAGAATTGAACATGCAAATATAATTGCCTGATTAACTGTTATGTTTTCAATATCCAATATTTTGATTTGTCTATTATTATTTATTTTAACAAGAAGTCGTTTTTCGTCTCTAGCCAAACCCAGTTTGATCATTTATAAATTAACTTTAAAAATCACAAGTTTAAAATTGAGCACCATGTTAATGTGATAAAACGATATTTTACAATTTTTGTTTTTATTGTCGTGGATCAGAGATACATCATGAACATTCATGTTAGAGTCCAAAATTAAGAGTCGTTTTTTTCCTTTCAAAACTAAAAAATGGATAAAATTAAAAACTAAACCCGTCAAAACATGACGGGTCATTTCAATAAATTGTTTTTTTCGCATTTTATATTTTTACAACAATAAACTTCAAAATAAATTGTTGGATTTTTTTCTTGTTTTATTAATCAAAATTCGAATCATAAATTATCATTTTGTCTTTTTAGTTATTTCTCTGTTCCAAAAAGTGAGCAAAATATACTTAATATCAGGGTTTCAAATTTTAACAAATAACACAATTTTTATTAAAAATGTTTTACACTTTGTTCGAATCGAAGTTCTACCAAAATCTTCAACCAATTGATGGAAAACAACCAATTTATATGACCCCTATACAAGGAGGATAAAAAACCACCTCCGTCTTTTTAACCGCTTTCTATCGATTTAATAGTTATGACTAATAACATTATAATAAAAAGTATAATACAAATTACCACCTCGAACAGTAAAAATTTTCAGTACTATACATTTTATTATATTAATATTATTTAAATATTAATATAATATTTAAGAAGCGGTTTTTTATCCCCCTGTAAAGGTAGAAGAGACCTTATAATAGAAGAGAACAATGAATGAGGAGTGGGGATGTTTAATAGGTCTTGGCAATCCGTCGATAGCACTGCAAGAGGAAACGACAACAATTGGTCGAGTCCATCAAACATGTCTTAAAACACAAACGCGAATTAGTTCTTCTCATTGTGTGATTTCCCATGTGAATCTTCCCGCGTACTCAGTTACTAACATCACCGACACGTCATCCAATGGGACTTTTTTGAACTGCCAGCGCCTCAATAAAAACGTTGAAACGACGTTGTCGTCGTTTGATTTTGTACAGTTCTTGGACTCAACACAAAAAGAAGTCCAGCGCTATATCTTTTATGAGAAGAGTGCAGAGAACTCCAAATTTCTTAAGAATTACGAATTTGAGAATTACATAGGGGCAGGGTCATTCGGGGTGGTCTATTCAGCACTCAATAAAATAACAAAGGACCTCGTCGCTATTAAAATCATCTCAAAAAGTAAAGCCGCAGACTCTTTGGAGTTACTAAGACGAGAAAGTGCGACGATGAAGACTATCTGTCACATTCACGTTGTAGCATTCCATCAGGAGGTCGAGACTGAAACTCACTTTTTTATAGTGATGGAGTACGTTCCTGGAGTTTCATTAGAAAAAGTGTTTGAGTCCAAATTGAGTGATTTAAAACTTTCGGATGATCAAAAAATTCTTTTTCTTCACGATTTTTTTGAATTAATGCGGGACCTCCACGCAAAAAATATCGTCCACAGAGACTTAAAGCCTGAGAATATTAAAATAGAAATTGTCAAGCAAAAATACGTCACTTTTAAATTAATGGACTTCGGGTTCGGAAAAGAGGCTGCAGAGTTGACTACTACACTCTGCGGAACTCCTATGTATGTCGCAGTCGAAGTCTATACGAATGCAATGACACAAGGCTCACACCCTTATAATGCTAAAAAAGTCGACGTGTGGAGTGCTGGAGTTATTGCGTATCAGTTAATAACTGGGAAACACCCTTTCATTAAGTCCGGCGAGTGTGTTAAAGACTTTTTTAATCGTGCAAAACACTCGACTTTTGTGGAGTCAAACGAATTCAAATTGTTGGACGATAATTTTAAAGAATTGTTCAAAGAAATGTTATGCGCTGACCCAGAAAAAAGACCAACCTTCGAGCAGTGTCTCAAACTTACCGTTTTTGGAAGAAAAAGGGAATGTGAAAGAAATGAAAAAAGTCCATTAAAAAAGTGTGAATAATTAATTAATAATTAATGGTTAATAATTAATTGTTTATAATTTATAATTTATAATTTATAATTTATAATTTATAATTTATAATTTATAATTTATAATTTATAATTTATAATTTATAATTTATAATTTATAATTTATAATTTATAATTTATAATTTATTAGTCAATAATTAATTATTTATAGTTAAAATGTTATTTCAATGGATTTAATTCAAACAGTGTAATATGTTAATACTATTAATTAATTAATTGATTAATAGTATATTTATAGTTACATGACTTTTATTTTTCTTATTTTTCTGAAGATTTAAAATGTTAAAAAAGTTCTCACGAAATATGAAAATTAAGAGATCAATCTGGACAAAACTACTCATTTGAGTTATAGTTTTAAATTAAAAAAATATTAATTAAAGAAGGCATCAAGGTGATACCGTTTGAGGTCTTCTTTAAACCTTTCATTATTAGTTATGTTATAGTTAATTGCATTGACGCCAATGTCAAAAGCTTCATTACACACCTTTTCCATGTCTTCTAATAAAAGGATTTGAGATGGGATTTCATGAACTGTATCGACCATAATCTGCACAAAGCCCCCATCTCCTTTTGTTCTTCCATAGTCAAAACTGAAAATCTCTATGTCAAATAAAGTTTTGAGTTGTGGATATTTATTATATAAATATTGAACTCGCTTCTCAATGTTACCAGAGAAAGCTACAATTTTCATATTTTGCTCTTCTTTGGCTTTCTTTAAAAAAGTGAACATCTTTTCGTTTAGAACGTAACAATGAAACCATTGTTCTATAATATAACTATAATTGTAAGAATTATTTATACACACGTCTTGACACTCTCTTTCATAAAGATCCCAACTCGTTTTGTTGCGACGAACATTGAGTGTGTTCACTTTTTCTTTTAAAAGATCTTGTATTATCGTTTTGTTATATCCTTCTTTGTTCAGTTGTTCAATGGCTCTTCGACTTCCATTCGAAAATAATACACCACCAAAATCAACAACAAGAGTTGTTATTGTCATTACTTTAAATTAAATTAAATTTTTTTATTATTGTTTATAAATTAATTATTAATGGTTTTAAAATAATTTCATTAATTATTATAATTATTATAATAATTTTAAATATATTAAAGTTTGTTAAAATTATGTTATAATGTAATTACTAGTTATTAATTATTTATAAGAAAAGATAATTATAATTGTAATAATAAATTGTTATTTACTTTTTTATATGAAATTTATAACAGACAGATTACTATTATTTTTAAATAGTAAAATATATAACAAATTACTAGTTTAATAATAATAAAAAAAAGTGTAATATTTAATAATTAAATTATAATAATTATTGTCATGAAATAATAATTTCAATACTAGCAATTTGTTCATTTCAAAACACTAAACACCGTGTTTTTAACACTACAAAGTATTTTTTAGGTGAACTATTTGTAATTAATGGTTTTTAATATAACTCTCCAATTAAAACAAGGAAAAACACAAATTCCTCCCAACTGAAAAACAAAAAAATGAGTCAAGAGAAAGAAACTCTTCGAAAAATCCGTGTTGAAGTTCTCAAGGCGATGGATATGTTTTCCGTCGACAACACGCCTGGAGAGGCTTATTTGACAATGAGTGTCGGGAAGAACTCGAAAAAGATGAAACTTCCTCGTTTTACTATAAATATGGTTTTAAAACCTATAACAAATACCGTTTTATTTAATGGAGTAGAGAATGATGTTCGGACCTTAGACATTGAATTTCAGAATAAAGAACGGAATAAACCGATTAAGACTTATACCGCTATGATCCCCTTCACTGATTTAGTCTATGACAAACAATACAAATATGAGATCAAATTAAATCGAGTTGAGATCTCCGAGGAGATTGACAAGATAGTGACAAGTGACAAAGAGAGAGAAAAAGAGAAAGAAAATGACAGAAATTTACAATCTCAATACACTGACGGAATATACCCTACACTTACGCTACTTTTTTACCTGTTCCAAGAAACAGAAAAAGACTCGGAAAAGGTCTTAAGTAAAGAGGAATACCCCCTCATCGGTGCCGTCCAACGAAAAAGTCTTTATTTAGTCCTTTCTTGTGTCGAAAATGGGAAGTACTTTGTCAACCAAAAAGATCAACTTGGCAACACCGCGATGCACATCGCGGCTTCCGTACACAACGAAAACATCATACTGTCCTTATTAAATAATAGTCGCGTCGACGTCACGTTGTGTAACACGGACTTAAACACTCCTCTCCACTTGTTCTGCGCCTTCTTCCCAAACCCAAACTGCGCCGAAGCCTTTCACCTCTTCCTTCGACGAGGCGCCGACTTGAACGCGCGGAATAAGACCGGCGAAACCCCGTTACATCGCGCCGTTCAGAACCACAACATCCCACTGTTACTTGTCGAGTTGTTATTAAAGAACGGCGCAAACATCGACGCGAAGACGCAGACGGGGATGACGGCTTTACACTGGGCGACGTACAACTATCAAGTCGATTTGTTGTCGCTGCTCTTGTTATACGGCGCCAACGTCCACGCGGAGAACAAAAATCGCGAGACGCCGCTGTCGATCTGCGAGACGAAGATCATGGGAACGCCATTCTCGCGCATGTTCTTCTATATCAGAGACTTAATGAAGTACTTACAAACGATTGGCGCAGAGTCTAACTCCATTCGTATTCTTGTGATGAAGAAAATGTTCAAGTGGAAGCTCAGTAAACTGACGCCGCGTCTGTTGTTCCAAATGGGGATCACCGAGAACTCGGAGCAAATGAAGTTGAGTAAAAACTTCAAGACGTTGAAGGAGATGGACCCCGAGAAAGAGATGGTTGAAAACTTCGTGAAGACAAAGACGGGGGACGTCAACATGATGACTGTCGAACAGAAGATTAAAGTGATGAACGACTTAATAGTCCTGAAAGAAGCAAAAGACTCGAGCGTGTATAACACAGTTGTTGAATCGTTGAAACATGAAGAGCCGTTGAGTGTATTACAACTCCTCATCTCTGACGAGTTTGTTGGGTTCTTAAAGAGCGGAGAGAAGCTCGACGAAGTCAAGAGTAATTTGATCGACTTAGTCGTCGGATTACTCGGGACTGTCGCCGAGGAGAAGAAAGAGACGGCAGTACAACTGCTGACCAGTCAAAAAGAGAGTGTTGGGATGTTGCACATCTGTGCCAAGACCATGAACGTTTTACCATTAAAGTCGTACTTCATCTCAAAATTCGAGCAATTCCTCAAACTCAAAGATGAGGCTAAAAACGTGTTATGTGAAGCGATTAAAATCCTCAAAGACGATTACTTCGGGATGAAAGAAGTGTTAGAGAAAAACAGAGAAGTCATCGATTCACTAAAAGACGTGATTCCTGAAGAAGTCACTACTATCGACAATTTACTTGAGTTTGTTCTCCTTTTCTTGCATTTTATAAGAATACTTTGAGTTGTCGTCTTTTACATAGCTTTATAAAGAAAATTGAATAATCTTCCTCAAAAGCACTCTCACGTCTTAGGCAGATTCATTAAGATTTCGTATTTTATTTAGTCGCACTGTGTCTGTTGTGGTTGGAGTGACTCGAGACGCGAAATAAACGTAAAAGTGATTATAAGTCGTCGTTTTCCTTGATGATTTTCTTTGCCTTTTCGATGAGTCTGAGTGCTTTCTTTGCGTTGTGTGTTTCCTTATTGACATCGATGAGGATCTCTCGTGGAACACATTTTTTAGTGTGGGCGGGACATAAAATTCTTTCCACTCCATTGTCACGTAACACGTTGAACTTTTGCTTTGGTTGTTGGTAGACGTACTTCTTCGGGACGAACTTGCACCGATTCAACGTGACTTTCCTCGTCTTTTTGATGTCACACGTCTTCATTGGTTTTTCCTTTGAAACATGTGGAGTTGTGACATTAGTTGCGTTGAGTTGACTTTGAATGACGGGCTTCTCCAGTGTTTCAAAGGAACACCTCTTGAAGACTTTTTGATACGACACCTTGTGACGGGGTAATGAGTCGATGTTGTGATCGACAAGTGCTTGAATGGACCTCCTCTCGTGCTTGGTGAGTAATCGCAATGCGTCTTCGACTATTCGGTGACTGTTCTTCTTCTTCTTTAAAACGATTTGCTCCGCTCGTTCCTTCTTTTCAAGTTCGCGAAGGTCTTTTTGTCGAATCTTCTCCGCTTGGTCTTTTCGAGTCAATATGTTGAGATCAGCTTCGACTATAAACACCACGATGAGCAATACTACTATCCGGCTCGCTCGCATTTGTTGTATAATATGGTCTTAATGAGTTGATTTTTATGTGTTCCTTTGAGATCTTCAAATAGTTAAAATTTATTGTTTTTTTCTTATTTCGTCTAGTTTATGAAAAAGAGTCATTATAGAACTATATTGAAATTACCAATTTTACTAGACCTCCAAACCAATAAATTATAGTAAAACTACGTACACGAAAACTATACTTTGAACCACTGTTTGTCCTTGTCGACGACCAAATTTCCATCTTCGTCGGCTTTGACGAATTTGGTTGAGTGGGCCTTTCTCATGTGTTGTTGAAGAGCACGTTTTAAGACTGGGACACCGCAGAGCTCGCATTCAACAGTTTCCTCTTTATAGTCTTCTTCAGACATCTTATGGACGACTTTCAAGTGATCCAAAAAGAGTTCGAATCTATCAAAGGAACAGTAACAGTTATCAAAGCCACACATGTACTCACTCTTCTGATGTTGAGCTGCGCAATGCTTATATAAGAAACTTGGGTACTCGAATGCCATAGGACATCCATCATATGGACAACAAAAGGCGGGCTTTCCCCACCCACTTGTGACGTCTTTATGACACGTTTTAACGTGTTCGATTAAATCAGTTTTTAAAAAGAACTTCATAGAACAGCCTTTCTTCGTACATTGAAAACTCTCTGCTGTTTTGTGACTTTTAAGATGAATTTGAAGATATGAATTCGTCGTAAAAGAACGCCCACATGACTCGATAGGACATTGATAGTTCTTCACACCACTGTGCGTGGATTGATGACGACGTACTTCAGAGGCTGTCCGAAACTTCTTCCCACATTCAAGACACTCGTGCTTCTTGGAATTAGGATCGTGCTTCCGAAAGATGGGAGACATACGCACCATTCGTGTTACAAATATGACCACAAACGTCACAAACATATTTCTTCGGCGATTTTTGAGTTTTGTGCGATTTTGGAGTTTTGCGAACTGTTTTTTTCGGTTGTGTCGGAATAGAGGGAACGACTTGCTCATTTTTTGTGTCGTCTTGCGATAAAGTCAATTTCTTCTGGTTGGAAGTTTTAACACTCATGTCCAGATCTTCGGGAGGAATGGAATGGATCGGCTTCGAAGAAACAGATAACTCAAAGTAATCTAATTCGTGATGGGATGGAACGGAACGAACTTTAGTTTTGCTCATTCAATATAATGAGAACAACAGCTTGTGATTTTTTTTTTCAGGTTTCATAAGTTGAGGTCTTAATAATAAAAAGTGTAAGAAAATACTATACTCATTTTGATGTAAGATTGGTTGGTCTTTTATGTCGGTTTTTATCGGAATGACATGTTGCAAGTTGAATATTAAATATAGAATGATTAATAATAATAATTTTATTTTTACCGATAAAAACATTCAAATTGTATTTTTAAATATAAACCCTATCCCATTTTTTTATTATTTTTTTGTGTATTTTTTTAATAATTATATTGTTATTATTAATATTATTAATATATATAATAATATATTATAAAATATATTTATATTATTAACTATACAATAATACTAATATAATTAATAATTGAAATATAAAACATTTCTAAACCATCAGAGACAATAATATTTTTAAACAGAAAAGTAACAAGACTTTGAGATTTCCAAAAAAGTCAGTATAACAGAAGATATTATTATAAACCAAAACAACAAGTTAGTTATATCATTATTATTAATTATAAAAATTGGTTTAAAAAAATAATGAAAACGGCAATTTCGGCTTTTTTGAACCAAAACAAATAGTTCAAATTCTATAGAACTCCGCTCTTCTTTTTGTTTCTTTAAATTAAATGAATATTTCTTGACTTATTTATTTCGATACATCCCACTCATTTCCCGTTTAACGTAGTATTTAATCAATTGTAATAATTGCTTTAAAAAGAATTCGATATTTTATACTTTAAAAAAACACTAAACAATCACCAAAGAACTTAAAAACAACTCTTTGTTTGAAATGGACTTTCAGTGGGACTTATTTGGCTATACCCTTGCCGTCTTTTTCATATCAATAATCGGTGGAACAGTTCCCTTTTTAATTCGCCTCATCAAGAACAAATCGATAGGTATTCGGATCATCAACATAGCTTCCGTTTCCGCAAGTGGGTTATTTTTAGGTGGTGGAATTTATCACATGTTAGCCGAAGGTTTAGAGATGATGGATGAGTCGGGGTATTCCTTTGGTGGTTATCAACTTGGGTGGACCTTATTTGGTCTTACTTTCTTCTTCATCTTTTTCATTGATCGAGTGATTGTCCCCCACCACCACTCCAGTTTTGAAGAGATTTCATCTGACGGCTCAGACGATGCCACAAACCCTAAAAACGAAGTTTTTGATGATCACACCAATTTACTTATAGGTGACCAGCCCAACGTTGCAAACTCCGATATTGAAGACATCGAGGGTTTCCAAAATTCGAATACAAAATTTGGATCAAAGGAAAGTAGTGAAGAAAAGAGTCACCACCACCATCATCATCACCACCATCACCACGAAGGTGACGAGAAAGCAACGAAATATCAAGAATGGGTGGGGATCATAGTATTAGTCAGTGCACTTTCCGTTCACTCATTTTTAGAAGGACTTGGGCTTGGGTCTACAAACGACTATTTGATGGTGTTCATAGCGATTGCCGCGCATAAATGGGCGGACTCTGGTCTGACGATATTATATCTTATGAAGAAGTTGAATGGGTGGATTGCGTTGGTTGCGATCTTATTCATCTTCTCGTGCTTCACACCACTGGGAACTTTAGTCGGCTATTTTGTCATCACAAGTTTGGAGGATGAAAGTGTGTCACTGCTTGTCCAGGGCATTTTCTGCTGTGTTGCGGCGGGAAGTTTCTTCTTTGTTGCGATTGTCGAAATCTTGAGTGAAGGGTTTGAGGGGGAAAGTAATCAATACACTTTGGACAAATACCTCAAATTTGGATTGGCCGTCGTGTTTTATATTTTTATGTCACTCACCACGTTGTTGGAACCAGAGGAAGGCTCGGAGTGATTCAATTAATTTAATAATACTTAAAGTCAATTATGTGGTATTCAACTAAAGACTTTTTTATTGGCAGTTTCATATTTTAATTCCTACTATTTGTTATACACCTTGAAGTTGGTTGATGAACTCATTGAATTGTGTTGGTGAAGTCTTTTTTGATAATTTTTATATAAAGGAAACGACAAATAATTCTTCTGTAGAAAAAAAGAACACAAATAACACACAAAACCAAGTAGATTTGACTGATTTCAAAATAAGTCTTTGAATCAAATAATTTTTTCGTTGCTTTCATAATAAAAGTTGTTATTGAGTATCTTTTGCCTTCATTTTTATCAAATGTTATACAGTGTATTCTATACATTGAATTATAAAAACTATGTAAAATATCAATCAGATTCCTGTTATAGACAGACTCATGCATTACAACTGATTGTATCGTAAACAGGTATCTAAATCTCTTTATTTTTATACTTCCTCTATCGTTTGCTATTAAAAATTGTGATAATAAAATGTATTATAACCAATGGTACATGATTCAATATATAAAACTGTTAATTCCAAATTCAACAACAAAAAAACACAACAAAATTCTTTGAACTTTCGCTATTTTGCGCACACACGCATATGCTTTTATCGTTTTTTTATCTATTTTTGTTTGGGTTTTCCATTTATTTATCATGTTCCCAACAACGCTGAGAATGATTACTTAATAATTTCTTAATAGTTCTCTTGGAGTACATTACCCCTTTATTTTTATTCGCAGATTTTCAAATCATTTCTATAAATACGGTGCCACTTTTGGCAAATCGTATCATTTTCCAACAATTTGTAGATCGTGTTTTGCAGATGTTTTTTATTTTACATTTATTTATAACATTTTTATCATTGAAAATTAGTTGCTACACTTTTATGAAAAAACAACAAGGAAGTAACAGTTTACTTCACCACACTCTGAAATTGCCCCCAAAACAATTGAATTTACAAAAATGGTTTTATGGTAATAACTGTCTTCAAAAAGCAAATATAATGGCGGAATAACAAAGGAATATCTTTTCGATGGTATAAAAAGGCTCCGCACGCCGCAAAAGAAAAAGAAAAAAAAAGTAGAGCATTTTCAAGGGGAGAAAAGCGAAAAAGAAATAGTAAAAGACGTAGAAATAGAATTGCAAAGAAGAAGACATTGGAAAAGGCTTTATAAAAAAGTCCATCTTATGTTTTTGGAATGACAGTTTAATTGTTTCTTTTTCACACATTTCTGCGCTACCAGTCGGGAAGGGTTTGGACATTTTTTGGCGTTAAACCCTGTTGATTTGAAAAACTTCTTGCAAATAATCAATCTTCAAGATTATAAAGTTCATGATACAATAATAATAGTACTTATACTATACCGAATAGTACTATAATTCAAGATGTTAAAATATAAACAAGTTAATAGAATACCAATAATACAAGAAATGAAAAAATGCTACAAATTATTAAGAAAATAATTTCAAATCAAGACGATCCTTTTTTCTGTTAATTATTGCCAACTTTGAAAATGCCAAATATACACCCATTGCATGACGGGAGATTCCTCAATAAAAGCATACGATCACGTTAATTCTAATATCTCCACGTCAGTCATTTGTGTGTTTAATCAACAAGAAAAAAAGAAAACTAAGAAAAGACAAGAGGTGTATGCGATATTTGTCCCAAAAAAAAGAGTAAAGAAAAGAAACGAACATTAGAAAATAAAAATTAGAATTGGCCTCACACACTTTTATAAAAATAAGAAATTCAAATCAGAGACTTGATCTTATAAACTGCTCAACTATCTGCCTTTACATTCATTCATTCTTTATGTCTTCTGCATTCACTACAGTCTCTCCAGTCTTTTATACAATCATTACCAGTAGTGCGGTATCAAGATCATCAGACGACTCTTTAGAGAAACATTCCAGTCCAAGTCCCATGTCTTCCTCACAAACTAATAAACAGTGGAACGACGAAATTACTATTTTTGTGATGCTCAAATACAGAAAATGGCAAATGACGGGAAGAAAAGCTCAAAATTTGAATCATTTTTATAAGACGTGTACTCAAGACTTATTGGACGTTTTTCATATCACAAAAACACCAACACAAATTAGAGACAAAGTTAATAATACTAAAAGCTCTTTTGCTCTTTTACTCAAAAAAGAAAAACAAGGAAATATCGCTTGGACTAAAGAAAAGTGCGCGTCCCTCTCAAAAAACGTCTTCTGTTGCCTTGAAAAGTACTTCTCAGAGGACTTCGTCGTCGACCAGGACCAAGTCGATAGAATGATCGCCAAGATCGTCGAAAAGTATTCAACGCACTTTTCCGTCTCTTCACTCCTCAAAAACGCTATACTTAAAATGAAGACAAATTAAATCTCTTCATCTCTTTTGTAAATTTACTTCTCACCTCATGTTAAGTTTCGCTTCACTTTTTTCTATTAATGTCTAATTCTTATTAGTTTGTTTTTAGTATTAATTTTTAAAAAATAGTATTAATGTAATTATAAGTATTTAATTATATCTTAATTATAAATTAGTTTAATAATAGAATAGAGTAGTTTATTATTGAACAAGAGTATATTAGTATATTTATTATAAATTATTAACAAAAAAAAACTATTATAAAAACTATTAAAATATGTATTAAAAGCTGGTAGTTTAAAGAGGAAATTAAAAATTTTTGAGATTGTGTTTTAAAATGTTTTTTAGTAATTTTATAACTTTAAATAACCACCCAAAAACTTATAAAGTCAATGGATAAAATTGTGGTATTTGATAATAAAAAGACCGTCAAAGAGGAATCTCTTCGCCAAATATTATTGTACTGTGGCCAAGTAAAGTCACTATCGAAAGTTGTTTGTTCCAACACATTTAAAGAAATAACTTCAAATAACTAAATTAATAATAACGGAACTACTCATTATAATTTGTCATTTTAGAGATTTTGAGTTGACCGAAAGGAGAAACCATCACAAAACTGTTTTATAGCGGAATTTGAGAATGAGAGTTCTGCAGCCAATGCCGTTTTTTTGTCGAACACTTTAATTGACGGCTCACAAATCACAGTGATAAAATATTCCGATTACGACAGCTCAAACGTTGAGACGCCTGAAATTCAAATAAATTCGACTCCACAAATCGTCGAAAATGACGACGTCCAACTCATTTCCGACACCGTTGAAAAAGATGAAAAAGACGAAAAAATCGAAAATTCAGAAAAAGTCGAATTATCGAAAAACGAAAAAATCGAACATGCAAAAGAACAAATAGTTAAAAGCGCAAAGACTATCAGCGTGTTTGCCGAAACGTCACTCTTCAAATTGGAGGCGTTCATGATCGACGCAATATGCGAAGGCAGAGACACAGTCGATAAGATGCGTGGCGTCGAGAAGTATAAAGAATATGAAGTTCATGGAGATCTCAAACACTCAGATGGCTTCAAAGCTCAAAAATTCACAGTCCAACAGACTCAACAAACTCAACTCGTTCCACCAATTCAAATCCAACAAAACGAACTCCCCAAAAAAACTCAAAAACCACTCCCTCCCATTCCTCCAAAGAAAAGAGAAGACGCTCCAATAATTCTTTAATTTTAAATTTTTAGTTTTCATATAGTTTCTCTTTTTTAAGTGATTGTTTGGTATTTATTGTATTATATTATATTATTACTTTTATTATTTAATATACTTAATTTTTTTGATTTTGAAACATAATTTAATAAATAAAGTGATTATTATAAACTATTGTTATTAGCAATTAAAGTTATAATAATTAGTTATATTTTCATCATATTTTAAAACTTTGAAATCCCAAAACGATTCATAATTATTGAGAACATAGTAAGTGAAATCTCACAAAATCTAGATGGAAGTCATCGACGGCGTTCTCTCAAAAATCACAGACGACCAAGTAATAACAGGAAAAGTTCTGAAACAATTAATCACACCAATTACTCTCGTTTTGTCAACCCTCTCAATTCGTCAATCCGCGCTTGACCATTCGAAAATTCCCCCAAAAATTGCTTTTGAGTCGCCATATCCAACTCCAACAAATTTTGCAAATTACTCAAAACTCAAAGAATTCGAAGATGAGAAGTTGACGCAAAAAATGAAAAGTTGGATTTCCTCAACAAAAGGACATGTCCTGTACGACACAGAAACTGATGAGTGGAACTCAGATCTATTGAAAAAACAAACCCTTGGAGCCATCAAAACGTCGTTCTACGTCTTTAGCGACCAGAACGACATCTTTGGGTATTACTGCAAATACGTCGACAAACCCGACGAATGTGACTTTGTCTTCTCGATACAGCGGCACGGGAAAGTTGTGAATAAAATGTTTAAGAGGAAAAGTTCAGGTAAAAGTGGGTTGTGTATAGGTGGTGGAAATGTTTTGTTTAAGACCGAGGCATTTGCAGTGCAGTCGATTAGAGAACGACAGGCCTCATGGATAGAACTGGATCTCGAGAAGAAATTTGTAGATCTCAAGGAAAAGTATCTCTCAAAGTGTAAGTACCCAAGCTTCTTCGAAACCAAGAGAGTTATAGTCGTCAAGTGGGTATGAGCTGTGAACGTTTGAATGACAACACGTTGTGAATTGATGATGTATAGTGTTGATTTGATGTGTATTGAGTTATACTTTGTTGACTAATTTAATTTATTATATATTTTACTATGTCAAGTTTAGTTCTTTTTATTAATATTTTATTATTAGGTTTGTATTCAAATATTAACAAAATAATAATTATAATAATTAAAAATTATAGAAATTGTTAAATTAAGTTAAAACATATTTATGTTAATATTAATCTAATAACAATTAAATAAATAACAACACAAAAAATGTCGTTATTTAAACTTTTTTGAATAATTGGTGTGGACAACAAAACAATAAAATTATAATAATGAAATTATATTTTATAACACATTAATAATACTAAATATGTAATCAAACAAAACTCAATTATATTTCTGAATTTCTCTTTCCATAAATCATCGTAAACATCGATGAAGAATTATGTTGTAAAAATATTATAATATATAGTATAAAAAAAAACAAATAATTTTATGATGATTATGTCCACAACAGAAGGTGCAATGATATTTTTATACACGTTTTTTAACAAACCAAAATACAAAATTTGGCAAAAATTAAACAATGATGCCAAGTTTGCAAATGTTACATGAAAAACTTGTGGGTTTTATTATTAATTAGAAAAATGTCATCTCTTTATCAAAAAATAACAAGATTGGAAATTTTACTAAAAAGTGCATTTAATTATAAGAATTCTATTAGTTAAAAATATATTGAAAATTATCTTTAATTATTGAATTAAAAAACTATATGTTAATTTTAAATTTGTTTTTATGAATCGAAATTAATTGAGCAATAAAAAAAAATAAAAAAGTTTATTTCAATTTATTACTGCAAATACAATTTATCATCACATAAAAAAACAACAAACTAAAAAATATAGTACAAATATTAATAACAACTAATATAAAATAACATTTGAGTATAAATAGAAAACACTGTTTTTTTCGCAGACTTCACTTAAAAAAAACACATTTCCATTTTTTTCATTCATTTAAATTTGCACACCTGTTATTTAAAAAAATGAACTTTTGAAATAAAAAAATGTTGGGGTTTCGTGTCACATCTCCCGATGACAACAGTGAAATCCACGAACTTATACGATTAATAAATTCAAATCAATCCGATGAAGTCGTAAAGAGACTTTCCATATCATCAACAAATTGGGTGAATTCGTCATCGAGGGGGTTACACCTCTTATTCGCAGCGTGTAAAATCGGGTTTGTGTTTTTTTTTAAATTCAAAAAATTTTTTGAAACAAATGAGAAAATAAAATAACAACAGATACTTAGTATTTATAGTATTAATAATTATATTAATAATTATATTAATAATTATATTAATAATTATATTAATAATTATCTTTTTAATTATATTTTTAATTGTATTTTTAATTGTATTTACAATTATATGTTTAATTATATTAATAATTGTATTTTAATAATACAAATATTTTATTATATTCGATATTCTTAATATATCAATCTATTAACTAAATAGAGCTTTAGGTGTAGTAAAGTATATTATAAGTAAATATCCATCTCGTTTAAATTATCAAGATATCTATGGGAGATCGTGTGTCTATATTTCTATAGAAAATAGTTCATGGGAAGTGATTGATTATTTAATACGACTACCAGTGAATTATCACATGGCCGACAAAAGGGGGAATACTATTTTACATTTAGTTTCCCAAACTAAAACAAATAAAAGAAATCGTCCCATCATCCAACATATAGTTCGGAATATGATAACTTTAACTAATGTGATCGACGCACAAAATTTATTAGGAGAAACGGCTTTACATTTGGCCTGTTTACACGCTAATAAATATGTCGCAGACTTATTATTAGATAATGCCGCTGACGTCACTCTTTTAACAACCAAAGGCCTTTCCGCATACGACTATCTCAAATTCTCAAATGAACTCTGTGTCGATAGGAAGCGCCTTGACCCCAAAATCAGGAAGCCTAAATTCATCGCGTTAGGCTCCAAGAAGTCGAAGTCAAGTCGCGACATCGGCAAATCGTCGATGTCCAACGCGACAAATTCATTCTTAATCGAGGCTTTGGATGATCTAGAAAAAAATTATAGTAAAAAATCTATTGACAGGAGAAATAGAAGAAACTCAATTTCAAGTTGTTCCTCAGCAGTCGACGAAGAAAGTGGAGTTAAAAGTTCCGTCGATCCGCCACGTAGCTCATCGACGGAATTGAAGAAAATAGCAACCAAAAAAGAGAACTCGATATTTAGCATGATTTTCGAGTTCATCGAGAAAAAGATGGAAAGTGGGAGCGATTCGGACGAAAAGGAAACGAAAGAGAAATCAAAGACTGACGTCAAGAAAAAGAAAGAGAAGAAACTTCCAAATCCGATTTTTTACGAAACGGCGGAGGAAAAAATGCGAAGATATGAGATAGTGACAGACAATCTCATGAAAAGTTTACCGAAAAGTCAACCACTGAGAAGCCGAAAATATAATCCCGGCGACTCATATCACGTTTTGTCATTAGATGGAGGAGGGGTGAAATGTATATATCAAACCATTTTATTAAGAAAAATAGTGACTGAAATCCCCGAATTTTTTGAGAAGATAGATTTAATTGCCGGATTGAGCGCGAGTTCGTTGATTTGTGCGTCGATTTTACTTGGGTATGACTTGAATTTCATAGAAAAACTCATGGAAGTTGTCAGTTTTGAAACGTTCAAATCAGAATCTCATTTAGCCGGAATAGCGGGGCATCAATTTTCGAATAAATTCATGAAAATGTTAGCGGAACGGATGTTTGGTGATCGAAAGTTATCTGACCTTACGCGAGATTGTTCGATCCAATCCTTTTTGATTGATTCCGGCAAGTACTCAAATCTGAATCTTCGGAATTCGAAGGCGATGTTATTTAATAATTTTGAGAGCAAGTACAAATTGGACGGGTATTTGCGTGACGTTTGTTTGCAGTCAGCCGCGGCACCCGGGTATTTTGATCCCTTAAACAATCACGTTGATGGCAGTGTATTAGTTAACAATCCATTCTTTTTAAGTTATCCGTTGATCATTGGGGAATATGGGATGGCTATTCCAAAGGCACAATTAGTAGTCTTATCCATTGGATCTGGATATCCTAATGTCCCTTATTATGATATAGAAGAGATGGGAGATGCGGGATTAGTCCAATGGCTTATTAAACTATCCGACTTCACTATCTTCGCACGAAAGGAAATGGCGGTCACGGAGAGTAAAGTCATCTTAGGAGAAAGGTATCATCGTTTGGATCCTAAACTCACGACTGACGTCGAAATTTGTGACTCGAAAAATATTCCTATCGTTAAACAAATGGCTGAGGAACAAGACTTAAGCGAGACTTTGGCTTGGATTAAGAAGTATTGGTGAGATGAAACAGTCTAGTTACTATAGTTTTAAATATATTTTATTAATATTCTAATTTTGTAATTATACTATAATTTTAATTAAAATATAATAAAATTCTAATTTTGTAATTATACTATAGTTTTAATTACTTTTTAATTAATATTCTAATTTTGTAATTATACTATTTCGTCAATACAAACAAAACTACTAAGAAATCATTTTAAATATATAGTAAAAGAATTATATATTATAGTAAAACGGTATCATTAAAGAAAGTGAATAAAGTCTTATCTGCGTGCATAAACTTTATTATAGTCACATTGCAATGAGAGCAGAGTTAATTGGTGTAGTACTGAATTATACAATTGAAGTTGCGATGGTTTTATTTCCATTGATACCATATATCCCATTTTTTCTTTCAAAAAATCGAACAAAACTTTTTCAACAGTTTAATAGTGGAGTTTGTTACGTTTTGTTGATCAGCAATTTCCTTCGAATTGCGTTTTATATAGGAAAACCATACCAAACGTTTTTGTTGCTTCAAAGCGTCGTTTTGATCATTGAAATGATTCTTCTTCTCGTTTTGGCATCCATTTGCCTCAACACAAATACAGAAAATGTTTTTGGAAATGTTATTGCTCTCCCATTTGGTATAGTGGTGGTGGGTTTTTTCTTTAGAAATTACATTCTTTTTGTCCAAATAGTCGGGACATTGGCTTCTATAGTTGAGGTGACATTAGCAATACCTCAAATTGTCCAAAACTATAAAAGAAAGAGTGGGGACGGAATACCATATTTAACTATTTTACTCTGGATGGGTGGTGATGCTGTCAAAACGATTTATTACTGCATTTCTAAAGTCCCTATTCAATTCGTTTTGTGTGGAGTGGTACAATTTTTGTGCGATGTAATTGTTGGCACACAAAAAGTGTTTTACACAGAAAAAGTAAAACATTTTGTTGAATTGTGTTGTTCAAAATGCACAAAACGAAAAGAAAGTGAGCAACTGAGTTTGTCAATTATTGTTAATAATAATAAATAAATTATTTAGAAATAACATATAGAAGAAATAGCTATGGATGATAGTCGAGAAGAGAGTGTTTCCAATAAAGTAGCGACACCAGAAATTGTTGAAAAGAGTGTATGTTGAATTATTTAATTAACAATTTTAATAATATTTTTTTAATAAAAATATATAATAAAAATTTTAAAAAAAATCTATTTAAATATTACACATTATTTTTTATTGAACATTTAAGAAGTAACCTAAAAACTATAAAGTTATAGCCATTTGCCAAAATTTCACAAACCGTAATGGTTGGCAAATTTTGAAAAAGGTGAAAATTTGCCAAGTTTAAATTGTAGTGAAAAAACTATATTTTTTAGTTAAATTAATTTATATATATCGATTCCCTTATCTGTATAGAAAAATAAATTATAATTTATACATAATAAAATAATATATTATTTGATTTTTTTTTCAATTGTGACGACTTTATGGGAATTAACAAAAATGTTTTAAAATAATCTTAACCATATTTGTAAAATGCCAAAACAAAAAAATGAACAATTTATGATGAATAAAAAACATACAATCATTTATTTTAAATTATTGAAATTAAAATATGTTAAACCACTTTTATGAATATGTTTGTTTGCGTATTTGATGATTTACATTGTAAGTTGTATTGTATCTCAATTATTAATAAAAATGAATAATTGATTATTGTCACTCAGAACAACATTTCATCATTTTATTGTTAACAACTTTAAAATTTCAAATAATAATGCATTCAATTTTTAGATGATGTAAATTAGGTTTAATATCTTATGTGTATGTACATGGGAGCTTTAAGTCTTACATATAATTTTAGTAAACTATGATATTCTCTTAATCTTAGTGTTATCATTTAAAGTTTTGTTTGATGTTACATGTTTACATACTTAAAAGTTACCACATTTTATTTTTAAGCTGTTTTTTAATAAAAACATTATGATTAACAATGAAACAGTATACACAAACTATTGTTATTAAATAATTGAAAATTTAGATTAAATTGGTGTTACATTTCAATTAGTCATAATGGTTGTGGCGTTATCGAAATACACATGTTTACTATCACGTGTTGTAATTTGAATAACAATAAAATGATAATTTAAAAATATTGTAAATAATATATCGCTTATATGTAATTATCAAAAATAAATGTTACATGATAATTATGGATATCGGTGGAGTTACACAATGGAATTAATAACAATTGTTTATATTTGATTTTTTCTTTGTTTCAACAAAATGTCACACGAATTATATGTAAGTTGCAATCAATATTTATAAATAACAATGTCATTAACAGTCAGTATTCAACTGGGAATTAAATTCAACAATCATATGTATATTAACAATATTATATATCTGTTGTTAATTAATTTAAACATTTAATTGTGTTGATAACTTTTTTAAAGTTATCAACACTTGTAAATAATTTAAAAAATTGTTTTCTTAGGGGTTACCAAGGTTAAATTCGACTCTAATTCGTAATAACCTTTAAAACGTTTTATTGAACTATTTTATGTTACGTATTAAACAAAAATGATGCTAAATTTTTAGACAAATGAAAATGATTTGTATATCTTATGTACATATGTTTGTGAGCCAAAATTCTAAATTTAATTTGTTGTAAACTGTAATATTCTCTTAATCATCGTGTCATAATTAAAATTTTTGCTTTGATGTTACAAGTTTACACATTAAAAAGATACCACGTTTTATTTTTTGTACTGTTTTTTTAAATGAAATTGTTGTGATTAACAGTGATATCTTTTATACTAAATTTTTATTTAATATTTTAAAATTGATAATCAATAGTTGACTACTTTAAACATTTTCGTTTATGAAGTGGTGTTATTGAAATATAGTTGTAAATAATTGTCTGTTGTAATAAAAAAGATAAAACGATAGTCAAAAAATCGATTATAAACAATGTTAAGCTTAAGTGTAATCATCAAAAAGTATTTTAATGTAACTTTTTGTATTAATGATTTTTGTGTGCTGACTATTATTTCTTCTTTTTACCAACATGTTAAGTGTTGTTTTTGTGTGTGAAACTGCTTTAGTATTTTTGATGATTATATTTATTATAATGTATGGTTATTTTTCTAATAGTGAATGGTTTTCAAATAATTAAAAATAATTAAAAGTAATAGTAAATGATATTTAGGTATGTAATTATTTGGCTAATTTTCAGGTTTGTGATATTTTGGAAAAGATTTATTATTATTATTATTATTATTATTATTATTATTATTATTATTATTATTATTATTATTATTATTATTATTATTATTATTATTATTATTATTATTATCACTCTTTACTTTCAATACAGAAACCAAACATTAAGTGAGAACCAATTAATTATTGAGTAAAGAATTTCATTTGTTGTTATTGGTCACTCAGAAGAGTATCGAAAAATCATGGATTGTCATTCAACTTTTTCATCATTGTGGCGATTAGATGACAAATTTTTTTGTTTTTATACCCAACCTTTGTTTTTTCCATAAATTTTTTTAATTATTTTAATACTATTTAAACTATACACATTTTGAAAATACAAGCTAAAAATCAACTGATAATATTTATAAATACTTTTTTCCTATTTCTATTTTAGATATAGACAATATTAGTAAATATAATAATTTTATTATAAAATAACTATTGTCAATAATGTATTTTTGTTATACAACGAATAGATAACTGGTTTGTCATTTAAAAAAAACAATTTTTCTTTAAAATAACTTTTAATATTAAAAAAAATAATTATACATTCAACTTTATGACAAATAGATGCTTATTTGTGTTAAAAGAGACACTTTTGACTGGTATTGTTGATTTTCGAAAATGTGTTGGAGTTCATTATCATTTCATTGTATTATAATTGTATTATATTTAATTAGTTATATCAATTATTAAATAGACAATATTTGAATAGAAGATGATTTTTTAATTACTTTTGGCTGGAATTGTTAAAAAACAAAGGCAAAAAATAAATTTGCTTATGGGGATATGGTTAACTAACTATAATATATTAAGGTTACTTTTTAATTGAAATTAAATGGTTGTACAGTAGGAGAAATGAACTAGGATCATTAGAACAATTAGGGCAACTTTAGTAAAAAATGTGAAACGGTAAAAAAATACATTTTTGGGACAAAACCCTTTATAGGCAATAACATTATTTTAATAACAAAAATTCAAATAACATTTTATCAATAACATTATTCATTAAAGAAAATACCAATAACAAAATCCAAATAACAAAAAAATACAGCAATTTGTTTAAATTAAAGAGGATGTCTTTTTCTCGTCGATCATCACCTCTTAAATATTATCATGAAATAACTATAAATTCACTATCACAATATTTGTTAAAAGACACTTGGACTGTTAATACCATTTTCATGAAGTCCAAAGTTAAAGATATGATGAAAAAAAATCTTAAGTCACAATTATATTATTTTGCATGTTGATTGTTAATTAGAAAAGATTATACCCATATGAAAAAACATTTTCTATAAACAAGGGATTTAACATTAATTATAATAGAAAATGTTCAACATTTCATAATTGTTTAAATCTGTATTTCCCGTGATTTAACGGTGTTTTGGCGCAATGAAATATAGAGAGAAAAAAACAAAAATGTTGAAAAAAAAAAAATGAAATTAGTTTGAATTGATTGGACAATTTTGTAAAGTTTCAGTTTTTTTCGAAGGGTTAAAATGATTGGTTCTTTTCAAATTGTGCACATTTATTACAACGGGAAGAAGCCCTAATCATTAGGAGTTTTTACTAAAGGTTCGGATTCATTTCTAAAGTACCGGGTCCATTTTCCCTACTGTAATTATAATTAAATTAAGAAAATACTAAAACAATTTATTATAAATTATTATAAATTGTATTAATAATTTTAGTTAATAACTCAAATAAAAATAAATAATTGATAAAAACAATACTATAATATAATAGTAAAAAATTACATAAAAAAACTATTAAATAATAAACTTAAAAATACACCAGAACTTGATGGTAGATGTCAATGCCTTATTTTCCGTGTTGGACACTGAAAATCGTGGGTATTTAACTGAAGAAGAAATGCGGGAAGGCTTAATTAACCATTACTATTTTGACAAAGATAATGGTGCTGAGATATGTATAGTGCGTTCGATCTTTGATCTCTTCTTTGGGTACTGTGATGGGCAGAAGTTTTTCGACAGGAAGAATAAGCAACTGACACAACACGAATTTAAAACTGTCGCACAGTTCCTTCCGTTGACGTTTGGTCGTGAGAAGGTCAAAGGACTCTTAGACTTCACATTCGATTTTATTGATAAGAACAAGAACGGATCAATCGACTCGACGGAGTTCAAAAAAGTCTTTGAGACGAACAAATTCATGGGTCAGACATTCAAACAAAATTTCTTCGACAAAAACGTCGACGGAGTAATTACAAAGGAAGAGTTCGAAGCAATATTCTTGGATACGTTAAAGCTCTCTAAAAAGTGAGTAACAATAAATAAAGTCGGTCAAATTCCCTTCTTATTAATGCCTCTCGTTCCGTTCCTTGTCTCACTTTTTCAATCTTTCTTTATTTTTTTTAATTTTTCACCGATTGGGTTGGAACATAATAATGATAATAATAATATGTAAATTATTTATAAATTTAAAAATTTTTTTACATATTATTAGTATAATTACAAAAATAGTAAAACCATTTACCATTAAAAGTAAATAGTTTTACTCTATAATATATAACACAATAATTAAAATAAATAATGACTATATTTCAAAATAAACTATAGTACAGTTTATTTTAACAAATAAACTATACTATAGTTTATTTTTTTGAATAACAAATTATTCAAAACATATTTTTTATGATAATTGTATTATAAATATATATAGATTATATTATAAAAAATAATAATTAATTATAGTGATTTAATTATAATTATTTTACTAAAATAATTGATTTATAAAGTTTTAGTAAAAAATATAAAAAATAAAAGACACACAAAAATGGTTTGAAAAAAATTAACATCAAATAATTATATTTAATAATATAAATCCTATAAAATAACTAAAAACTGAATTAGTGAAGGACTTTGAATTTCTGAAGAATCATGATAATTGCGACAAACAAAACAAAGAGGACGATAGGAATCGTTGAAAAGAGTAGATAGCCAAACGTTCCATTATCGAGAACTGTGCCTTCAAAAGCCATTCTGATTATTATAAGATGAGACAATTGAATTGGAATAATAGTTTATGTATGGTTTATTTTACTATACTATATAATTATATTATAATTTTAGAATTGTTTAAAAATAAAATGAATTCTGGGCATCATTTTATAGGAAGTGACTTTTTATGATTGAATGATAAATAAAGTTATTAAATAAAAATTAATCAAATTGAGTCCGGTATACTATCATTATAATGTTTGTATTAATTGATAATAAAATAAACTACAATTATGATTACAAACAATAATAGACAAGATTGAAAAATGTGGAAAGAATATACAGTTAAGGAATGAAATTGATAGTAAAACCAAAGAGAGATGAAAACAAGTGTCCAAAAGCCACAACGATGTTCGAAAAACATGGGCTTTTTTCAAAGCCCATTGAAAGACACAGCTTTCTCAAACTTTTTGCCAATAAACACAATAAAGCAGAAATCATTGGACGTCAGGCAACTTTTAAACTGGTCGTCTAAAAACAAAATCTTGGTTAGAACTCGGTGTTATATTAGAGACGCTAGATATCAAGATGATTGTGTGCTCACGTTTGGCATGTGTGACGTGAACGATCCGTCTGTTTATGTCAAAGCAAGGTGCTGGACACCATCAAGGGAAGTGTGTTTTCCCGAGTCTCGAATTTATTATGTCATTGGAAAGTTTGACGCAAAAAAGTTGTTTTTTGATTGTGTGTGGATAAGCACGGGGTCGGAAAATAACATCTTTTGAGATTTAAGCAACTTCAAATTGTTCATATCTGGTTGTAACTCCTTCGAGTTGTTATTCTCCAGAAATATTTTCTTTTGAAAATTCTAGTTCAAATGAAATCAATCTATGTGTTTTATTTATTTTGTTATTACTATTATTGATTCAAATCATTATTATTGCCATTTTGTTTTTTTATTAAAAAATACTTCAATATTTATTATTAATCTCTTATATAAATTATATTAATTATATTAATAAATTATACTAATCTCCTCAATTTTTATCTTATTTTTTTGAAATGCCACGTCACATTTCAAAGATCTCTTCCCTCAATTACTTCTTGTGTTTTTCTTGAAATAGTGAGGGTTTTAGCTTGTTTTCGGGGTGTTCTCTATTTTGAAATGATGACAAAAATCAGAAAATTTTTTTCTGAATTATCTTATTCAAAAATCTTGCCATATCTTAATACGAATGCCTGAGATTTTTATTATTAACTAAAATTAACAAAGTGAAAAAACTGCAAGTTAAAAATGAGAAGGAAATAATTCTTTTGTTGGTTACTAAAAGTCGTATGACTAGTATAATTATAATAAATGAAACTATATAAATAGTACACCAAGAATACCAACGTTCCCATCCAAAGAATCTAAAAGAGGAAGTGTATATAAGCTTCACTAACTGTAAAGGCAGTCGATTTGATTAATGCAAATCACATTGACACTTCATTACGCGACTTCACCAAATGAAGCTTTACATGTTCAATTACTCTCCGAGAGGAACACTGTGTATACTATGAGGTGGTGTGCTGGCCATTTTTGGTGTGTGACTTTTCCACTGGAAGTACCCGAGTGTATGACGTGGAGGTATTACGTCACTCATAATGACATTATAATAAAAAAAGAACCATTTAACTTAAAAAGAAACTATTCTTTTAATCAAAGCTGTGTTGTGCGGAACGCTTGGGGTATGGCGGAGTGTCTTGTGTTGATTAGAGATAATGGAATGGAGAAAAAGTCAAAGAAAAATGGGAAGGTTCCGTCTCTTTCTCAAATCCCTCTCAGAAATTTAATCTTCTCCTCTCTAACACCAAATGAAACAAAAATATCAAAATCTTCACAAAGAGATAAGGCTCCGTTAAGTTCCCCTCATAAATATTCACTCGACACGTCATCAGGACAATCTTTAAGACAATGTTTCATTCAAGAGCAAATTAGGAGATATAATCTGATCGATGACGAAAAATTCAAAATTTGTGTGCCAACACTTCCGTACATTGTTTTCTCTTAAGCATTCTCTTAATTCGCAAGAAAACAATCACGTTGTCATTTTTAGGCTTGAATTTCATGTGTGTTAATTTATAACTTATTGTAGTTGTTTTTTACTATTACAAAATCGTTTTTTAATAATTTATAAATAGTATAATAATAAATTTTGTAATAATTTAATAAGAGGTTAAAAAAGTGGTTTAAAAAATTGATTATTAAAAAATAAGTTAATTTATTTCAAAAACTAATTGATTAAGTTTATTATAATAATAATAAAAAGTATAATTAAAGTATATTATTCAAGTTTTTTTTTGTTTTATTAACTTTATGAAACAAAGAGAATGCTTAGTATTCCAAATACTTTTCACAATAATAAATTCCAAATTTTATTTGTAAATATTTTTTATGCGATTATTAACACAATCACAAAAAAAAGAGAAAGCACAACCAGAACGAACACAAAGAAATACGATCTACTGGACAAATTACATCATTTTTTGTGGAAAAGACCGAAGAGTCCCTTCTTACTCTTTTTTTCTTTTTTTCCTTTTTTAGTCTTTCTGACTGCCTCATAAAAGAGTTCCGCGACGTTCGTGTTGTTCAGTGCCGAGCATTCGCAATACCCCACCGCTTTAATCTTTTTACAGAACGACTTAATTTCGTCTTCCGCGATCAAAGTCTTTCCTTCTGCTCGCATCTTTGCTTCGACTTCTTTTGATCCTCTTAAATCGACTTTTGTAGCAGCCAAGATGTATGGTGCATCGGGGCAGTGATGTTTCAATTCGGGGATCCAACGTTGTGGAATATTCGAGAAAGAACTTCGGGAGTCAATAGCAAAGCAAATGATAAGGATGTTAGTGTCGGGGTAACTCATTGGGCGGAGTCGGTCCTATTTATTATAATTGAAACTATTAAATAGAATATTACCTCTATAGATACATAGATATATAATGTTATATTTATTTATTTAGCACCAAAACAAACATATTCTTCTTGTCCAGCTGTGTCCCACTATATCATGAGTCTTTTTTTATTTAAGTTTTAATAACTATAATATTAAACAAACTATCGACATGGTTACTTGCTCACCATCGACGGTTTCTAAGCGCGAAAAATTGTCAAACACCGTCGGGATATAGTCTTGTGGAAATTGATTGTTGACAAATGTCGAACATAATGCAGTCTATGGGTCACTCCCATTTTTTTATTAATTTTTTGATTGGAATTCATTTAAATTTAAATGACCTACAAACTTTACCAACTGCACCATCACCTGTGTGTTATTATTATTACTTTGTATTTGATATATCATTTAATATAATTCATACAGAGTATTCAAAATAGAAGGAAACACAAACCTACCATAACTATTTTAACCGTTCGTCGCTCGGCCATGTCAACTACTTCATGAGTTACTCTTAGAATCAAACAACGACAAACTCTTAAATGTATTTGTAGTCTTTCTCTGTTTTTTGTTTTAAGTAAATACGTATCTTGAATCACAATAGGATTTCCAATTTCAATTTCCTTCTATTGTTTTTCTTTCTTACTTTTGTGCCATTTCTTTCATTTCTTTAGACGGGAAATATCTTAAAAAAATAAAAACCCAATTTTCTTCGCTTCATTTTTATTAAAAATTCACTGGCTACTAAAAAAAGTATTTTTGTTCCAATAATTGTTGCGTCAATAATTGCTCCTTTTTTTATTTATTTCTTTGGGACTTTGTAGTTATCAGAATTTAAATATTGGCTTATTGCCAGATTCACTCTTTGATGACTTGATCTACTTGAAACCCAATATTTTGTTTCTTTATTCTTAATAAAGAACTTCATTGAATATTAAAACCCAAATATTCCCGTAGTGTTTTTTCTATATTTCTTATCTTGAAAAGACGTTTTTGGGACAAGTTGAAAGATAACAGCGCTAAAAACTATTACTTATTTCTTTATATTTTTTATATGATAATATTCAATAAAATATATATTTAATTCATATAAAGAGACTAAAATGAAGTTATAATTCCTTATTAATTATGTATGCCCATTTTATTGCTTTGTATTCAGTTCACTTTATTTGAACAATTTGTGTTGTTTAAAGCGAAAAATGCCACAAAAAATAAAAATAAATAACACACAAACCCTCCCCATTTTTTGGTTTTAATATCACTGGACATGTACTTTATTTATCTTGAAAACCTTACTATAATTATAACTTTTCATACTATAAAATTACCTTATAACTCAATTATTATTTAACCTTATGATTTTTTTATCAAAACATTTTGATGAAAAAAACTATTTAAATAGTTAACAAATTTTAACCAAAAATTGTTTACTCTCATCTAAACCTTCTAACAATTCAACCATTATTTTAGTTTACTTTAATTAAAAAATATTAATAAAAATGTTGCCTAATGCCGAGTTTTTCATTCGACCAAGTTACTCTATTATCCTTTGTAATGTTAAGTGTTCAATAATTCTTTCAATAAATCTCCATTACAATTATTTTAAACTACATTTTTTTAATTATTAACTAGTATATATAAGTACCTATAAATATATTATTATATTTAATTAATTATTATTAATATTATATTATACTATACTATTAGTAATAACAGACAAACAACCATCACCCATTAAACACAAATTAGAACGAGTAACCCCATCATACTATACGACACTTCTTTTCTTTCTTTGTTTTTGTGATATCCTCTTCCGGGTTGTAATATTCAACGGTTTCACTTCTACATATTTCACTTTTGATCATGACGGACTGGTCGCGTTGGATTTTGTCCTCTTCTTTCTTTTGAGCGAATTGCCCAAGTGCCATTGTGACCCGATTTTTGGACCGATTTGCACGCGATTTTTCGATTAAATAAGCGCGGGTTTTGATGTCGGCCTCAGTTTTGATGAAATCGAATAACTCAGTACATCCAATATCACTTTGAACGGAACAGTAAAATATTTTTGCTTTGTTGGTCTCCGCTGTTTTTTCAATGATTTGTTTTTGCTTGGGTAATATTTCCAAATCACTTTTAAGAACTAAAAATTGAACGTTGGAAAGCCCAGCGTCGATAATTTTATCAGCAGAACGGCGGACGTTCTCTAAATTTTCAATGGAAAGGGGTTGGTCGGGGGAACACACTATAAACGACAAATCAAGCTTCTCCACAATCAAATTCTTCTTGTTGGGTGGCTGATCCTCTTCGACTGTTGCTTCAATTAAATCCAAGAGACATATAGTGTTGGACTTATATTTCAACCACACGGATTGCTGGAGTGTTACTTTTATTATTTCGTTGATATATAATTGAATGAATTTATCAACAGCGTTGAGCTATGGAAAGTAGTGTACAAGACTTTTTAAAACAGTTGGAAGTTTTTAAATATAACGAATTTTATATTTATATAACACCAACTTAGAAATAACATGCAAAGTCCAAACCATATCTTTTTCAGTTGCTTTCTCGTTATACTTGTCACCTATCAGCTTTTTAATTAAACTGGTTATACCGACTCCATGCATCCCAAAGAAACTGACACGGTACCACACTTGATATTGCTTACCACCTACAATACGTTGACACGACATATTGTAATACACATAACAGTTCTTTGAAATTAAGAAATCAGTAATTTCGTCTTTTTTAAAGAAGTATTGTCGTTGTTTTAACGGAATCTATATCGAGTGATTATAATTAATTTTCAGATATTATAACAATTATTTTCCGATATTATTATCCTAGAAAACTTCTTTTTCCAAATGTTTTTCTTATAATTTTGTGGATTCAAACAACAGAGAAATACAACAAAAAAGTTTTTGTTGTACATTTTAGAAAAAAAAATTGAAGAATTTTTGTTCTTTTTTAGTATTTTTATTAAAAAAAATATAACATTCCAAAAGCCTGTTTGATTGAAGAAAATATCAATGGTGATTTATGTATCGACAAAAATAATAGTTTGGCAATATTAAACTTTTAAAATCGCCCTTGTTTTTGGTGACCCATTTACCGGGATATATAAACACTTTTTAATGTTTTTCCCTTTTTAGCATGTATAATAGTATGAACATTATATACTTTTAAAAATCAGGAAAAGTATTTTATACATTTGAAATTTCCCGATTTTTTTTGACCACATAAATTCTGTTCAATGTCAGGTTAAGTGTTAAAAAAGCACCATTGATATAAGTAATTCAATTTGTAATGACAAACTTGAATGTGTTCATTACTACTTCTAATAAACTCATCTATTCAATTAAAATCAAGGTAAATAATTCATTTGTTTAATTAATGTCACACAGAAAAGGTTTGTTACATAATAATGTTATTGAATTTGCCACAATATTGAATATGTATAATTTACCCCATATGAACTACAGTATGGTCACTTTGCTTTATGTAAAACTTTGCCTTATGCAAGACTTTTATTTATAAATATTAGTTAATAAAAACCATTTAAATAAATAAAAACTGAAATGGATTTTATTGTTTTTTGTTTGTAATTATCAAACTATATAATAATTCATTTTAATTATATATTAACTATAATCGTCTTGCATAAGGCAAAGTATTAAATAAGGCAGAGTGACCATACTGTAGTCCATAGTTCCACTTCTATTTCAACTTAATTTAAGTACACCAATTTTCAAAAAAATGTACCTAGAGTTAACGAAAAAAATGGGATGCTGAGAAAAAGGGGGATGCTAATCTAAATATTAATTAATTTAATATTATTAATAATAAATAATTAATATAAATTTATTCGGTTTTTTCATTTTATTAATTTTTTGATTAATAATTTATATTAAAAATAATAGTAATTTTATTTTTTTTCAATTGAAATTAACCAATAGTTACGAGCATCCTCCTTTCTCTAGCATCCCTCTATTTCCTCCTACTGTACAGGAAAAACCAGGGACCAAACTAAATTAAGCCGTTTTTTTTACTGTAACCAAACAAAAGACATCAAATTTCTAACTCTAATTATAAAAAAAGTATAAACTTCTTTTAATAAAAAAACATCGAAATGGTCGAGTGACAAAAAATCCGACAATCAATCACACCAAGAGCACAGCGTTCACGCACCCATCATTCTCGGGGTTATTAGTGATTTGTGCATATTTTCCCCAGACGACTTTACCGGTAGCAGTGACGAGACCCAATTCTGAGACGTCGACTTCTATAATTGATCCTTTAGTCATGATTCCCAAAGTCGTATACAACGGACTTTGTGGATTTTTCTTCACCCCCAAAATTTTCATACAGAACGTTGCTTTGAGTTCCGGGTGAGTGACGTGGGCCTTAGTGAATCTCATAGCTGCTGGTCTAATGAATCTTTCATATTTAGGGGGTTTACGTGTGAAATTTTCTCCCACAAATGTGGCCTTTGTGACAAGTCTTTTCCACGATTTGTTCTGTCTCTTCCCGCTTTTGTAGACCTTAAAGACCTCCGCCTCACTGATCGGCTTCACTTTCGGTAATGGGACCTCCCACTTCCCCGCCTTCTCTTTACGCTTTTGCTTCAACATGTTACTCAAGATTTTCGCCTTAGAGACTTGTGTCCTATCCATCAAATAAGACGGGATAGCTCCAACGTGGTCGTTGTTACTTACTTTCTGGTCAACTTTACTCTCCTTATTGACTGATAACGATCGCTTAAGAGCAGCTTTCTCTTTACGCTGCTTCTCATGGTACAACTTCGCTTTAATACCCTTAAGGGTTTTCGCTTTTAACGCTTTGTTCTTGCCCTCACGCGCTACACGCTTGCGAAGTCGCTCGTAGTAATCAAAACGGCGCCCAAACCTCTTGCGGTGAAGATCAATATAATCGCCCTGCGCCATCAACTGGTTTACTTGTTTTTTTCATTCGAAAGAAGTAGGGTTTCGGAGTGGCAGTTTCTTTGATAATATCTTAGCCGTTATCCCTCTCATGTATTAATAAGAATAAATAAGATTTTATTACAATCAGTTTCGTTCTTTGGAATGAAATTGTTAGAGCAAAATCAGTGCAAATTTTGATATTAAAAAAAACGCTGGGGAATTGAAATAAAATAGAAGAAAATGAAGCCTCAAACCCTAAAACCAAATATTACATGAGTGAGGACAACACAGAAAACACGACAAATAACACTAAATGGGGTATCCGTAATGTCGATTTGTACCAGAAGAAGCAGTACAATGCGGAGAAACACGATGCTGAGGAGAATGCGGAGGAGGCGATGAATATTCAAAAAGAGCAACTTAAGAACCTCCAAGCCGCCGATTTCTCTGGATTTGGGGACTTTGATGAGATCTTAAAAACGGTCAAAGAAGCTCCAATAGAGAAGACTGAGGAATACAAATTAAAGAAGTTCAATGAAATGATTAATAAAAAGAATTTGGAGTTGGACGGCAATGAAGATGAAAACATTCAAGCGATTCGAGCCGTTTACCCTGATTTCATGAAACGGCTTGAAGCGGCACAAACAGTTACTTTTATGAAGCGAGCAGGGTCTGGTATAATGAAGAAATTGACTGCCATCAGAGAAGACGCTGAAAAGTGTTTTTTACTGAATGTGTTGAGTGAAGTGTTATGTAAAGGAAATAGTACAGATGTTCACCCCTCTTCTGAGGATGCCCAAAAGTTCTTAGAGTGTCTTCAGACATCGCAAAGTTATATAAAAACCATAGGAAACAAGACAATAGAAGCCGTCTATAATGGGACTTATAAGGATTTGATACAACAAGAGGAAGAGAATGGAACTCCTATGGAACTTGAGAACCCTAAACTGTCTGAGATGGACATTGAAAATGAAGACAATGAAAATTCCGACTCCCTTGCAGAAAAGGCATGGAAGAACAAGGCAATGAAATGGAAGAAGAAGAGGCAAATTGGGTCAACGGTGATGACTTTGATAGTGATGAAATGAAATTGGAAGAAGAGCTTCTGAAAGAACGCGCCAACGAAGTCCAGCGCCGTAAGATCTTAACTGGGGAGGAAGATGCCAACACGGAGAAAGCGGTGAAGATAGGTCGAGACGTGAAAAGTGCAAAAGAGCTCCGTGAAGACTCAAAAGCTATTAAAAAGCCACAAGAAGAAGAAAATGAAGAAGAAAGTGAAGAATCCGAAGAGGAAGAAGTCTTTAGCGAAAATGAAGAAAACAAAGAGGCCGATCGAATGCTCACAAAATTACGAGAAAAGAGAAAACGGATCGAAGACAGTCGAAAAGAACGGTTAGAAAAACAACGCGAAATCGAAGAAAACGAAGACAATGAGAGAAGACCAGTCGGTAAAGTCATTCAACATGGAAGAGGCTTCACTAAACAAAGAAAGCCTCAACACGCCCGTTTGAGAATTCGTAAATTGTATGACAGAAAGACTCGTCACGACAACAAAGTCTCAAAGAAATTGGCTAGACCTGTCGGAGCAAAATACAGTGGAGAAAGAAAAATCGACGATATGGCTATCCACTCAGTCAAACTCAGTAGAGATTAAGATTTTTGAATTGATTGAATTGTTACCATTAATTTTAGTAATAATATAATAGAATTATAATATAAATAAATTACTATATGTATTATTTAATTATAATATATTTATAATATATTTATATTAATATATTTATAATATATTTATAATATAGTTATAATATATTTATAATACAGTGTGTTACAATTAATTCTTTATATGTATTATTATTTTATGGTTTTTTAATAGTTATAACAAATATTTAATTAAAATGACTAGAACATCGAGTCTAACAATGTTTCTTCATCTTTTTGTTTTCACTTTTATATACGTCTAAAATTTTTATAAACAAAAATTAAGATATTATTTTCAAATTAAACAGAAAAAAAAGAATAAAAATAAAAATTGTTTTTAATGCGATAGAATAGAAAGAGCTGAGGGACTCAACTCTGAAATTTAGAAAATTCACAATTTTCCAAAGAAGGGTTTTCACAAACTGGAAAAAGCTCACCCCAAAACTTTGCGATGTACCACATTCAAGTGAATCAGATTACAAAACAACATATTTCACTTCCCTCGATCTCCGCCATCTCAAATTTAAATACAGATGACGGTGTCATCTATATTTATTCTTCTCCAACAGTTTATTCATACAGTACAACTGGTGTTCTTCAACCCCTTCAAATTCCAGATCTCACTGGGGAGGTCAAGGATATAGTGTATAACGCAGATGCAGCGACTTTGTTATTAGCCGTTGAAAACGGCATTTTACAGTTTTCGTTGAATAGTAAAAATTCGGAGATGAAATTTGAAGCTAAAAATATCGAAAAAATAAGACTGTCGGCGGATTGTAATTTTATTATGGTAATTACTAATACAAAAGTTTTTATGTTAACGCCCGATTTTGCGCTGTTAAATAGTACTCCAATGGAAAATATTGTCGACGCGGAGTTCTCGGCTAATTTACAGTTTGTGACAATTTTACGCAAAAACGAAGTCATTTTCTTGTCGAACGAATTGCACATCAGACACCGAGTCGATTTGGAAGAATCACAAAGTCTCTCAATCCGACCGTCGTGCGAATTTGCGACTGTTTCTTCGGGAAATAAGGTCCAATTTATTGAGGAAAATTGTAACATTTATAAAACGTTTTTGCACGATCAAAATTGTGTGATTCAACGAATGCAGTGGAATTCAACATCAGAACTTTTACTGCAAATCAAGAAAAGAAGTGCCAACAAAGAAGACGAAAATGTTATAGAAGTCTCCGGCTATTGTTACGGGAAATTAGTCAGTAAATACACGAAGACCTTTGAAAGCGTTTTGGACGCGTTTTGGGATGAAGTGGATCCAAATACGTTCCACGTCATCTGCACTTCTCTGGACCACTTCACATTTTGTTTTGTCGAGAAAAAATGTTATTCCGATAACGAAGAAAAGAATGTGATTGTCCAGCCATTTTCTGAAACAGAAATTAGTATAACGGACTTGAATAAAGGGATCATGCCACCCCCACTATGTCATGGGAAAATAGAAACAACACTGCAAGATATGCGGGTAGACGTTATCAAAGGGAAATGTTTGATTAGTGTTATAGATAGTGAAAATGTTATTCAACTTTATTTGTATGAGAATGGAATAACGAGTTTGTGGAGGAAAAAGTTACCAGTGAAATACCCGACATCGTTTGTGATTTTAGATGAACAAAACGCACTTGTAGTTGACAACTGTGAGGGCAAATTAATGGTCTGTAACGCTTCGGGAAAAGACGGCGAAATCACTCAACTTGAAAACGCGACGAAAAACGTTTTGGTGAAGGCAAGTGATATTGATTGGCTAACAAAATCGTCTGATTTCGTTTATATGAAGTTGAAAGACAACAGAATGGTACGAACATCGTTTTGTCTTGACACGATAGAAATAGCCGAAGATATGAAAATAGATGGAAAATGTGAAGCTTTCGAGATCAAGTCCGTCAAATCCCACGACGAATTATACTATTTAAAGAACCATAAATTCTTTCATAATCTCACCCTGCTTGCCGAGAAAGTGAATTCATTCATCGTTCGTGGCGATTACGTGTATTACACCACTCTCGACCACAGACTTTTCGCTTCAAATGTACTCAACAAAACGATCTACAATCGCGCGACCGAAAGAGGGAGTGTCATCGTCGGGTTCTTAGAGAAAGACACCAAATTGATTCTTCAAATGCCACGTGGTAATTTAGAAGTGATTCATCCACGTGGCGTTGTGTTGGACATAGTCATTAGTTTATTTGCAAGGAAGGGGTATGCTGAGATGTTTGAAGTGATTCGTCGCAATAAAGTGAATTATAATTTTATAAGGAATTATAATACAAAACAAATAGTTGAAGATGTCCCATTGATAGTGACACCAGAAGTCAAGTCTGAGAATGTGAATGCGTTTTTGTTGTCACTTGAGAACGGAGTCTTAGGAGAACCATATTCGTTTTACTTGAAAGAAGACACAGAAGAGCACACGGAAGAGACTCGACAGATCGCTCTTGCTGTACGTCACTACTTAAGTGAGATCCATTACCCAGAAGCGTTTGTTAAGACGTATTTGGCGACGTTCTTGTTACTGCAACCAGTCGATTTTGCAGAGGTGTTAGTTCACTTATTTAACTTCAATGAAGAGGGAAAGAAAGACGGAATAGTCTATCTCGGCACTTTCTTCCCTATTAACGCTATTTTTAAATCCGCTTTATTAACAAAATCAAAGAAAATTGCAAAGTTTGTGATATCGTATTCTTCACTCGATCCAAAGGAATATGAGGAGCAGATTAATGCTCTCGAATTCGAATAAGTTAGTGGTTGTGACATTTTCTATTGGTATGATTTAAAATACTATATTTTTTTAGTTTCGTGGTGTGGAATTGTAAAGAATTGAAGTATTAAATGAAAACCATTGTTAGTGGTTTTGATAATACTATTACAAAACAAAACGATTTTTTATTAATAATTAATCATAATTAATAGTTTATTAAAATATGGGGAAATAAGTTATTATTAAGTTTGACGTCTAAAACGTCCGTTTTTTAAATAGTTAAAAAACTAGTAAATAATAGGTTAATTATTTATAAATTATTGTTATAAAGTTTTTGACGTTTGCGATTCAGTTTAATTAAGAAATAATACGAATTGGTTTAAATTAACGTATTTTATTAAATTAACGAATATATTATTCAAAAAATAAAAATCCATTCCACAATTAAACTAAAAACTATACTATTATTTAAAAACAATAAAAATTTGATAATTTTAAAACAAATATAATAAAAATACTCGTTAAAATAAACAATTGTTGAAGATATAATATACATATAGTAAATAAATAGTACTTAAAGAATGCAGAAAATGGGACCAGTATTTTGGAAAAGGAAAAAATTGAGAGAAAATGAGGGTTTTTGTCGAAAAGAGAGGGGTATATAAAAATAGAATATTAAGTTTCAAAGTCAAAATCGTGACGAATGGAAAGCTATGTGAATTTGGATCAGTCTCTATTCCTTCTTCGTGAAGATGGAAATTCGCTTGATTGGGATGATGAAACAGTCTGTCTTAAGCGTTTAAGTATATCAGATTCCAGAAGTCAGAAGAAGCGTGTTGAGTTTGTTGAAAGACTTTCATTGCAATAACAAATCATTAGAAAGGATAAACCCACCGAAATAATAAGAATATAATAAATGATACTATAATTATAGTATATACCATCAATACTATAATATATTATATTGATACTATAATATTTTTCTATTTCATCAATTACATATATACTATAATTAATATTATAAATACAAGAACAACTGTTCATCTTTAGAAAAAGCGAGTTACTTCCGACTCTTTCACAACCTCCAGTGACCAACAAAACTCCCATGAAACCATTACTGTCATTAAAAATTAGTGGGTCGAAAGGTTCGGAATGTTCTAGTCCACGAGTTGAAGTGATGTCACAACAAGAGTTAGTGAAGTGTAAAGACATTAATAGGAAGTTGATGTCTCAAGATGAAGGAGTTGCGTTTAATACCCCCGTCGATCCCGTTGCACTACGCGTCCCGACATACCCCACCGTCATAAAATATCCCATGGATTTGGGGACCATCAAAAGGAAGTTAGGCGATAAGAAATACACAACAAAGGACGAATTCTATATGGACGTCATATTGACGTTCCAAGACGCAATCTACTTTAACCACCCGGAGAGTGAAGTCCACCATTGGGCCGTGAAACTTGAAGGACTCTTCTTGAAGTTGTGGACGACTGCGTTTGGCGCGACAAAACCGACTGCGGTTGATCCAAGACTCCCCATCGCACTGAGTCAAACTGTTGGGACTGCTCCCCTTGAACCATTAACACCGTTATATTCTTTGTTGAATCCGAGTGAGACGGGGATCGAGAAAAATAAGGCGAAGACGAAGAAAAGCTCGAAAAGGGGGGAGAAGATATTCACCGACGCCGAGTTACAGAAATTGAAATGCGATTTGAAAACAATAGAAAAAGACAAGGAGAAGATGCGCAGAGTCTTCGAGATCATTCGCGTCGATCGAAAGGGGAAGGCAGAAGTTTCTATTAGTCTGAAAAGTTGCACAAACGAACAGCTGAAGGAGCTGCAAGAGGTCGTCGGTCTGAAAAGTGATGGGAACAAAAAGGTCGAGGAGGAACTTGAGAAGTTGACGGGCACACAAAGCATTGGAAAGCCACAAAAGGCTATGGACTCTGAGAGTGAAAGCGAGTTATCGTCGTCTTGTTCTGCTGATTCTCCAAAGTCTAATTGATGTATTGTTTTATAGTAACTGAATTAAGAGTTTTGTGACACTTTATAACACAAAGAGAGCTTTTTGTGAATTCAGAGAAACACGTCACGCATGGACTACTCCTTTTCTTAAAGTCTGGAAAGAAAGAGCGCAACACCATAAAACTCTGATGTGGTGAAACCTAATAAATTAAAAGGGAATTCACTTCTGGTCTTTTGGTGCGTTTTTGTCGTTCCAGAACTTGACTAACGTTGCGACAAATGGCTTGTCACAGATAACAATCGCGAGGATTTGTAACAGTCCAAGACATCCGCCAATGAACAGACAGAGGGTTGGACTGAATATGAATCGCATTGAAACAAAGACATTCGTTGTGAAGATCATAATGAATGAGACGAGTGTCCCAAACGACGGTAACACGTTTTTCAGACAAAGAGCTCCGAAATTCAAGTAAATGTTGTAATGGGAATACACCGTTCTCATCGCCATCGCAGAGATGTTTGCAAGTAACAATCCAACGACACCAAACAATTTAGAGAAGGCAATACAACACACGACATATCCCCCCGAGAACACAAACATGAAATTGTTTGCTTGAGACAACTGTTCGTCCGATGCGGTAGCTTGGAAAAACGATTCGGAAATCCCATTCAACCCAATTGCCGCTATCCCAATGAACGCGATGACCATCAATTTCCAGCTATTTGTGTACTCCTCGTTGTTATACAAAAACTCGAGCATCGGCTTTGAGTACGTTGGGCCGAAGACTAACACAAACAACATTAAATGCACGAGGATTTTCATCATCGAATAGAACGCATTCAACACCTCCCCCTTGTCCATCCGCATCTTTGAAAACAACGAGAAACTCACTTCTTCGATGGGCAAGAATAAGAAGCGGACTATAAGAGAAGAAATGTTGGATATGACGGAGAAGACGCCTTGCGTGCTCAAATTGGTTGTCACAACAAGTACCGCTTTCTCTCCTTCTTGCAACAAGAATTTTTGGATGGTCTGCCGCCCAAACAAATTAATGCAGTCTTTGTGCTCCTTCAAGCTCTTCCACCCCAACACACTCAAATCGATTTTGGGCAGCTTAATGATGAAGAAATACGTGATGAACACCAACACCGAATTTAAGACGAAGAGTGACGGTTGGATGAGTAGCGCGTACTGTGGGTACATCGGAATGAGAATTGCTTGTAACACGTTTCTGAGTAAAATTGAAGGAAGCTCCGCATAGAGTCTAAAGATGTGTTGTTGCGTGAGTAACATGTACACCAAATATGGTTCTTGTATCAGCTCCAAGAAGAGTCCGAATGAGTGAATGACATATGACGTCAAGGCATATTCCATGGGTGGAGCTTGTGAATAGATCAATGGGAGTGCTATCATGTTGATAAGTAGCCCAACGGGAATTGTTATTAGAGAAAATGAAACCCCCTTTGAAAGGTCATCGGTGTGTTTCCGCATGATCGTTCGGCGCGAGAATTCACGCGAAAGGAAGTACACGACATTCATCAAAAGTTGGAGATGAATGTGGAAGAAACCGGTAACCTCTTCACTGACAGAACGAATGACTATCACGTTGGAAATAAACGTGATTGTTCGTTGAAGTAATTGAAATAAGACAGAGGACGCAATCCCTCGCAAAGCTCCACCAATGGTTTGTGTTGTTGGGGCTGACATGTGTTTTTTCAGTGGTGAGGTCTTATTAATCGAATTATTCCAGTTTGTAAAATCATTAAAAATGACATATTATTTATTAATAGTAATTTTACTACACAATAAGAACACAATAAAACAATGAAATAATTTTTTTAACCATACTGTTTGTGTAATTTGAATAGCATTCATTTGTATAACTATTTTTGTATTGTAATTTTTATGATTTATTATAATTTGTTCAATAATGTATAATATAATTTTATAATAGCATAAGAATTATTTTCACTAAAAATATGAAACTATGTTAAATGCAATTGTTACTGGTTTGGAGAACATATCAAACAGTGATTATGAAAAGTTGTATTGCAATCTCGGAATCACATTTCTTGAGTAGAAGTGTAAAATGAACATTAAATGAAACGAAGATTCAATTAACAAAATTTCCAACAAAAAACGCCAAAGACGATGAAATACTAAAATAAAACAATATATCATTTCAAAGAAATAACATTTGTTTCTTTGATGAAAAAAACAAACATGAAATTAAGAAAATGAATCAAAATCAACAAAAAATGATCAAATCAGAAATTTTTGTCATTTTAAAAAGAACTAATAGAAAACCAAGAAACTGTATTAAAGCGCAAACACATCACACTTGCAGAATAAAAATGGTCTTTAAAAAATGACAGGAAAAGAAGATTGCAAGTGTTTGAGTTAGACAAAGACAACTTGCTAGTACATCTTTGTTTTTAGTTTAAAATTTATGAACATAAGCGATTTGTTCTTATTAATAAAAGACACCAATCACTACAAATTTAGTGGTTTGTTCACTGGAAATATTAATTAAGTTCACAAATATCTCAACAATGGCAGGTCTTACATCTTATCATCAGTGAGAAATTGGATTTTAAATTAAAAAAAAAATTTAATTAAATCTTGGGTTTTTAACCATCTATAGAAAATTTTCAAAAAAAAACATTGATTGTTATTAAGAAATTATATGTATAGTTAATTTTCTCCATCGTTAATTAAAAATTTGACTTTAATTTGGGGTTTATCAAAAGTAATAATTCAAATATTTAATTGATTAAAATAGCCATTTATTTATTAAAAAAGTTGGTGTTTGAAATACTTATTTCTGTTTGTGCTTTCAATGTCATACAAAACATAGCACCCAATTTATAAATAAATTGTATAAATTGAATAAACTTGATTTAAATAACTCTAATAAGAAAAGTAATCAAATAATATAAATAAATTGGATATTACTATTTTATAGTAAAATTATTAATTTTTATTTTATTAAATTCAAAACATACAGATGTGGTACTATGGTTTCGACCAGGACCATGGTTTCGACTAATAATTAATAATATTTATACCATTATTAAAATTAAAATTAAAAAGTTATATTTGGACTATTTTTTAAAAATAAATATAGAAACTCGTTCATTACTATTTAAATAGTATTTAAATAATAAGTCGAAACCTTGGTACTCGTCGAAACTTTAGTCCCACATCTGTACCAATTGTAATTTATTTTTGTTATATAAATTATAATTCGAAATCAATAATTTATAGTTCAAGAATTTGACCTTTTGTTTATTCTTCGAATTTCTTCTTATATAGAAAAATTCGTTTTCCATAAAAAGACTAAAACCAAAAATAATACAGAAAAAATAGAAGAATAGTATTATAGTATATCCAATAGTAAAAATATGGTTTAATGACTAGTTTATTCGGTTTTAATTTCCAAAGAAAAATTTCACCTTTATTTGTAGTTTTCCCGTTATTTAACAGTTGATTAGTATGATTTATTCGATAATTTTGTAGTGCAACAATTTTGAATTAAACGATGTTTTTATTAAAATAGAAGTGGGTATATAAATAATACGAAAAAACGCGAAAATCAATTCACATGCTTCTGTTGTTTTGTATGATAATTGCAACACTTGCAGAAGACGAACCTTGTTATTATCTTATAACTACAACTGCTGCAAATATATATGGAGACAATCGTATCACATACACTGGTGTATGTAGTACTGTAGAAACTACACATCAATACTACAAAAAGGTTGATGGAAAATATACCATAGGAAAGGACGAAGCCAATTTGTATCCTGGAGTGGGTGTAGGTGGTGATGGAGCTTACCATGCAACGATGTACATCTATCCGATGGATGATCCCATAGAACTGTACATTTATGATAACAGTAATGATCCAGACTTGTTTGGAAAGGAATTGGGGTATTACTATTTCCTTCTTCAACCTGATGGAGAGAAGTTTGAGAACTTAGACAAGAATGTGAGCTTTCACGTCCAAGCCTTCCAAGGCAAACAGACTGGTCTTAAAATCTATTCTGGCGTCGATGGGTATAAAGTTCCTATTAATATTATATATGAACCATTCTTATCTAATGGTTTAATTACTAACAAAGGAATCTTCTTTGCAAGTAATGAATACAAAGCTGATGATCCAAATCGAAATGTAGCACAACACAATAAATTCAATTTAATTTACAACGCTCCGCCAACCGGTGAGACATTTTCCTTCTCTAAATACACAAGTTCAATATTCTGTTATGATTCAGATGAAGGCGACTGCGCTATCGAGTCGATCGAATTCCCGGAACCTCTCGACTTTTCAACAGCAACTAAAACTAACTTACAAAACAACAAATACCAAAGCAAACCAGTCTTTAAAGAGTATTATAAGACTCAAGGAAAGTATTACACTTTATTTATTCAAGGAACAGAAGTCTATATCAAAAATTATGATAAACAAGACAGTGAAACAAGTAAAAATATTGATGGCTGTCTCATGAATACTCTCTTGGCTCTACTCTTAGCTGTCTTCTTTATGTTTTAATTGATTACCTTCCTCCTTTCGTTAACTAGTTGTTTATAATTAAATTAACTATTCATATAGTTTTACTGCAAATAAAAGGTTTATTATAAAATAATAATAATAATAATAAATATCTTTTTTATTATAAAATTCTATATAGTCGGGTGATAAAGGGGGTTAATTTGGGACAGAAGTAGTTAATTTGAGTAAAAAACTATAAAATATAATTTCTTTAACCATAAAAGTATTAGAAGGGTTTTTTCAATTAACTACTTTGAAGATAATAAAAGAAAACCATAACTTTTTATTTTTGATATTATTCAATCTTTGAAAACAATGGAAGAAGAAGAGTAAGGAACCCTCGATGAAACAACCACAGGCAATCAACACAAAAAAAGCAATTTAAATACAAGAAACCAGTTTAAAAACTGTATTTCAATATATATTCATGATGTATATGGTTAAAATGCCAGAGTTTAATGAATTAACTACAATGTCAATCTTTTAAAGTGTCACAGAATCACTGAAAATCCATCATTTGTTGAAATCTTTTAATCTTTCGTTGTTGAACCATTCCCATTGAGAAAGGAAAAGAGAAAGACCATTTTAACACCAAAACAATTGGAGTTGAAGAAGAGCAGAAAAGAAACGAAACAAAGGAAAAAACAAAGGAAAATCCTTTAACAAAACAAGTTTCAGACAAACCACAAAAAGTGCTGCGTTTTAGACTTCCACATTTCTCTAAGTGAACAAATTGAGGTGTTTTTGTTTATTTTTGAAATAGAAATTTATAATTATTCAATTTATAATCATTTAAAATTAAAAAACTATAATTTAAATTAATATTTTAATTTTATGTTTATTTTGACCTTTAAATAGATTTTTTAAAAATTATAGTTTCAAAATTATATTTATCAAAATTAACTACCTTTGTCCCTTTTTAATGCTATTTATCCCCCGACTATAATACTATAATATTCTGAAAATAAATTATTGGTTAAATTAACTACTATCATAGTATTTTTAATATAACTATACTATACTATAATATATTAATAAAATAATATTATATAAATCAACTATTAATATAGTATTGCTTCAAATAAAACTATACCATACTATAATATACTAATAAGAAATTAATTTATTTGTAACACTACAATCCTCGTACAAGTGAATCCACTTGGGAAAGAACAGCCCACATAGTCTTCATCAGTAAGGCCTTCATAACTTCGAGCTAACTGTTTAACGAAACTCTTTGATGTTGGTTTGTGGACATAAACGCGACTTGCCCCGTAGCCAAAGTCAAACCAACAAGGAGTGTTCATGTCATGCAAAGACAAGGAGCCCCGCTTTCCAGGAAGAAGGGGGTATTTACGAGGAGACTCCAAGTGTGGTGCTAACAAGGAGAATGCAAAGTTTTTGGAGTCTTTGGACTTTTCATAGTCATCAGAAAGGGGGTCGATAGTTGTGATTTTTCGATTTGAATAGGTGCCAAAGATGTGGTCGTGTGCAAAACAAATGAAGAGACAGTGTGGCTTATTCATCACTTTATGGTTCAAAGTTAAGTTGGAAAGACCATCAGTATCACTGTCATATAAAGTCTGATACCCACAATGTCGGTCCGTCCACTCCGCATAGTACTTCGAACATTTAATGACATACAACAATTGGTCATCCCCCATTTCTCACTCTTTTTCAAATTATTGAGAAAATGTCTCTTTTCGTTCTTTTAAAGTGTTAAAAACATTTCTCATATTTATTCTATTTAGTCTATTTATCCACTTTGTGACATTCACTCAAGTATAGTATAATATGTAACATTTTGTTATATCATAATAGTTCTGCTCTCTCTTTTAAAACATTACTTTCCAATAGAAATGAGTTTGACTATTTCTATGTTACAAAATAAATTTTCTGGTAAATCAAAAATCTGTATGAATTAGTCATTTCATAATTTTATTATTTAAATGCTAATAATTTTTTAGTATAAAGTATTGGTTGGTGGAATAGTTATCAATGCTAATCAAGTTTTTTGAATAATTTATTTTTGGAATTATATTATTATAGTTTATTAAAGTAATAAATTAAATAGGTAAAAAAATAGAAAAATAAAAATGAAAATAAGTCATTTTTAGCAAAAAAAATGTCAAAAAAATCCGATAAATTAAAATGGAATTATTATTTATTTATTATATTTTGTTGAGATAAAAATTATATTTACAATTGAAAAGACAATTGTATTTCCCACAATTTAAACAAAATAATTGGTACTATTAATTATATTATATTATAAAGAGTTAAAGATATTTAAAAATAAACTTTTGTTGGTGTTTGACGTTTTTAATTAATAAGTTTTAAAATAAAAATAAATAGTTTCATAAATTATTTAATCTGGTTGAACTTCAACTCGACTTCAACACAAAAAGGTGATTTAACTTCAATAAATGTAACATTTTATTTTCGAAGAGTAAATTAAGTGTTGAAACGAAATTGGAACAAGGTTGTATAACTGGTTACAAACCATTAATTATTAATTTTATTATAATTAAATCTAGTTTTCGTGTTGCAAGATTAATTCTTTTTTTTATTAAAAAAATTAATTAATATTTTTCCTTTTTATTTATAAACGAAACCCTAAAAGTGGGTTATATAAGTGCAAAACAAGAAAAGAAGTGTTTACCCCGCATGTCCGTACTAAGCCACGATGCCATTTTGAAAGCTATAAATGATAAAGAAATCACCATCACACCCTTCGACGCAAAGAACGTCGGCCCCGCCTCCATCGACTTGAGTCTGGACAACGAGTTCAGAACTTTCATCAACAAGTCAGAACCACTTGACATAAAAGAGTCTACCAACTATAGAGAAGAGACAGAGGTCCACAAAATTGCTGATGACGAATTCTTTGAGGTTCCACCACAAACAACCTGTCTTGGAATTACCAAAGAGGTTGTCGGACTCTCCGATGGTCTCTGCGCATTGTTAGAAGGAAGATCCCGTTTCGCTCGCCTTGGGCTCTTCGTCCATATCACTGCCTCTTTTATGAACCCAGGCATCAACAACAGACAGGTTCTTGAGATTTATAACTCCTCAAATGTTTGTCACTTTTCTTCTCGTTTTTGCTCTTCAAATATATTCTCGTTCTACCTTCCTCACTCTTATTATTTTTGAGATTATATGATTTATTAATTTTTATTATATAATCTCTATAATAATTATTATTTAAATATAATTATTTAATTTATTATACAAATTTATTTTTATATTTAGAAATTTTTATTTATAATTATATTTTTATTATAATTTAATTAATAATAATTAACACTTATTTATAGAGAGTGATTCGTTTATACCCAGGCCAAAAGGTTTGCCAGATGGTCTTTATGCGTATGGAAGGCAATGCCCAGTATAAGGGAATATTTGAACACAACTTCCTTTAACCACACTGTCAAGTTTTTGTGTGTTCCTGAATTTATTTGTCAGACTTCAGTTCGATTTTCAATACTATTAAATAACTAATAAATATAGTAAAATATTATTAAAAAAATAACACAGAAAAAAACCCGTCACTTAGTGACAGGAAGAATTGTAAAAAAAAGAGAGAAATGTTTAAGTTTTGGGATTGAATAGTTGAAAACCCCAATTTTTGATTATTTTTTAAAAACTGTTACAAACGACACTTTGATTGGTCACTTAAAAAATATAACCAAGTAATATAATTTATTTAATTACTAACTCTAGTTTAAAACTTCAATAGAATCAACCAAAAGACAGAAAAGCCAAAATCATAAGAAACACAAGAGTGTGAGTTAAGTCTTAATTATTTGAATTACAAATGAACCAATATTAAACTAGAAAAAAAAAAGAGAAAAAACTACAAAACGTAAGTGATTATATGAGTAGTGAGATACTTGTATCTGACGATCACAGTACTCAATCCGAAATCTCACAACCAACGCCAGTTCTCTGGACCGACGACGAACAACGTTTATTAGAAGAAAACATAGCGCGCCTTGAGATAAGCGAAAAGAACTTGAAAATGATATTTGAAATTTCAATGCTTTTTCCCCATAAAACAGTTCAACAGATAATTATGAGACTGAAATGGAACTCACAAAAGAACGACATCACTTGGGAGAGTTACTGTGCTCAGAACATTAAAAGTTCCCCAAGTTGTTCTCCAGACATTTCAAACCACTCAAGTCCTCGGATCTCAAAATCAAAACCAAATCGAAAAGTTCCTCAGCCAACTCCTAAAAAGTTGGACGCAGAAAAGCGTAAGAGAAGGTCGGTCCCAGACTCCGCAACAATCAGTGTCGCTCAATCGAGAAACAAAAACAGATTTTCTCTCAACCAAGAAAATAGTTTCGGTAATAGTAATTTTACTATTACTAATGGTTCATCCCAAACTAGTTCAAATTATAGTTATAATACTATAAGTGGTATCCATCAAGTTAAAGGCCCGCGCACACTCAAACACAACCGCGGCTCAGCGATGTTCATGCAAGTCAACCCAATAGAAGAAGTTGACGAGTCTGCAAGCTTGAAATCTTTTCAACAAACACAACCAACTGTACAACCACCAGTTGGCGAGAAAATGGAGGAGATGTCAACAATTAATTATCCCGAAAGTGACAGCCCACGCTTCCAAAAAATCGAAACCTTCCAGAACATTCCAACCGTCCCTCCCGTTCCGCTCCAAGGCGACACCCGGTGCGGCGTGACGGGGCAGGAACTGAATCTGCAAGACCTCATTCTCCGGATTGACGGACTTGTCCGCGATAACAACTCGATACTCAACTACGTCGAAAGCTCAATCAACAAGAATTTACAAATCGACCCTAACTACTTAAATGCGTTTGGGACGAATCTCCAAAACTTATTGGAATTAACAGATGGAATTGCTAAACCGTCGAGACTCCCATTCATGCCTTTAACCCTCAACGTTCCGCCATCACTCATTGGACAAAGACCAGGAACTAATTTTCAACAAAGATATGTGTGATGTGTAATTGTATTTTTTTATAGTTTTATTTATGGTTATTTATAGGTTCAATTTGGATTTTTCATTTTTATTGGAATGATTATAATATTACTATTTATTTAATAAATTTTATTATATCACTATTATTAATGAGTTTTACTTAAACTAATTTATTGTTAATTTTGATTAGAATAATTTGGGGGCAGACCTTTCCCACCCTCACCCAGTCTAAATATAGAATTAATTTACTATATTTTATAATTTTTTAATTATAATTATAGTAAATGGGCGTTTTGGATAATATTAGGTCTGGTTCCCGAATTCAAGAAATGCCGAAAATTCACCTCGAGTTAGTGGAAACCGAGAAAGACGGAGCATTGAAAAGAAGGCTCTGAAGACGCACTCAAACAGTCTGTTTGTGCACCGTTTCACCCACTTTCCAAGTCCTCCCTTGGCGCGGATCCCCCCTGACCCCCCCGCAAGCGGGGTGGAACCACATCCGCGTCCACACAGTACGGACAAGGAAAGTGGGTGACATGGGGACGCACAAACAGTGGCTGAAAAGTGGACTTCCTTCAAAAAACACTCGCGGCAAATATTTTATTTTGGTAAACGGTGGTGGTCAATGTAGGTCCCGACTTTTTTTAATTATATTTTATTTATTCATTTTTACAACACCACAATAATCACTTTTTTTATTCTAAAAATTAAAATGCATATCAAAAAGTATAGTAAATTTAATTATATTTAATTATACAAATATTGTATTTATACAAATGACTGAATTAAAAAAAATAATAAATTAGAATGATTTTCTAGTACATTTCAATTTTCGAAATCGAAAAGAGTTTTTTTCAGTTTGAAATTGATTGCTTTTCGTTTTGACTTGTCGATTCTGACTTTTGTTGATCTTGTCATTTCACTTGCCGCCGATTGTGAGTCGCTCTCTTTTGTACTTTTTCCGATTTCTGTTTTAGACGAGCAAGAGAACATTTCAGAGGTCTCGCTCTCCAATTTTTCGGGAGATTGGGAAGTTAATTGAATTCTGAGAAAGGAAGAAGATTGTGATTGGGAGAACGGGCGGATGTGGTATTTAGCTTTTTTTAAGATTTGTTTAGTTTTTTTCATCACTTTTCCAAACTCGATCTTGGGGAGATTTTGAAGGAATGAGAGGGTCTGCGAGAAATTTAAACCCAGCAAATCTTTCTTGAGCACTAAAAGGATCCCCACACAAGTGGCTTTGACCAACGGGAAGTTGTCAAGGTCCAAGAAGAAAAAGTCCCAGTAGCGGAGTGTCTCGCTCAACGGGAACTCCATACAACACAACAGTGTCAACCACCGAAAGACAAAGAGTTCTGGGCCAACCCCAATGCTTTTCAGCTTATCGGCATATTGTTTGTCAGTTTTAGTTAGAACGCGTTCAATTTGACTCATCGAGTCTTTAATCCCATTTTTCTGATTATCAAACGATGGGAGAAACCACATCCGCATTTGGTCAATTAACATAAACATACACCCAAACGTCTCCGCCTCGACTTTTTTATAATCAGGTTTGTCTTGAGATGAAGCAAATTGGGTGTAAAACACGTTACAGATATTGTTCATACCTCTAAGGGTCATTACTTTGAATATTATTATAATTAAATTATTAATATTATTATAATAAAACTAATAATAATATTATTAATAACTATTAATATAATAATATGATTAAATTATTAATATTATTAATATTATTATTAATATTATTATAATAAAACTAATAATAATATCATAATTAAATTAATAATTATAATATAATTATAATTAAAAATATTATTATTAATATTATAATTAAATTAATATCAAACAACAAACTGAACATAAGAAACACCCCCATTAACAAGAGATAAGATAAATAAAATACGACGAAATGCTAAATCATGACGAATTGGCTCGTCGCGATTATAGGGAGCGCCTATGACTGTGCGAATGATATCCTTTTCGATAGTTCGCATTCTTTTTGTTTCATCATCGTTTAAATTAAATGTGGAAATTGTGTTTTCAAAAACATTTGTGGCATACTTTGTTTGCCAAGTCGCTTCAAAAACTTTGTCTAAACTCTCTGAAGACACGTTGGGGTATATTTCTCTCACGTACTTTGTGTATTGCCGAAGACAGTTCTCGTCGATAACTTGCCAGTCGTTCTTCAAAGGGGTGTAATATCCTAATAATAATTTCCAGACTTGTGAACGCATATTAAGATCTTCAGGAAGACCACTTTTGAATATCCGTTTCTTCATCAACATCACGTCGATGTAGTCTGTTGAAAAGATATGAGTCCATGAATCATCGCGTTTCTGCATGACTTAATTAGTTCAAGTCTGTTTGATGTGCGTCAAAATCAATTTTTGTCAGACACCACTCAATATAGTTGTTTTATAGTTTTATTTAATTTATTGATGGTTTTTTGAGTAGTTTTCTTTTTTTTTGGGTTGTTTGCTGATAATTCAAAAATTCACAACTTTTCAATTATTTTCAATATTTGGACACTATAGTTTGAATAATTTAATTTATTATTAATTAATAATTAGAACAATAATGTTCTAATTAATAATTGTTGTTTTTGTGTGGCTGAAATTCCCGTTATTTGTCGTGTTTTTTATTAATTACTTTAACGATAATATTATTATTATTTATTGTATTTTTATTTGATAATTTTTAACTATAGTACTATTATATTATTACTAGTAATAGAATTTAAAAAAAATCTATAAAAAGTAATAAATTTAATGGTTGAAATTACCTATCAAAACACAACTTTCACTTTTCCTGTGTACTCAACAAAACTCAACGTTTCAGATGCTTTCAAAATTCCCGAAGATTTTTTCTATTTGACTGACAAGGGTGGTCGTTACAAAACGACATTGCGGAATGGAGATAGTTTAAGAATTAATATTCGAGGGGCGGGAGGAAAAGGGGGATTTGGCGCACTTTTGAAGGACAGCTCGCAACGTGTCGCGAAGGAGAAGTTACCCGAAGATTACTTTGACATGTCCCGTGACCTTGAGACGGGGAAGCGAGTGTATAAAATTCGCGAAGAGGCTGAAAAGGAGGAGAAGAAGCATTTAGAACAAGTCGAAAAGGCGATCGTTGAAAAGCGCGAGGAACAACAAGAGAAAGAGGTCTTAACACAAAAGCAACATCAGATAGAGAAGACGGAACAAACTATAGAAAAACTTCGAACACAGATCCGTGAAGATATCAAAATAGGAGGGATGAAAAGAAAACGCCCTATAAGGGGTGTCGTTCCGCCAAAAATTGGGATAACTCAAGACGGAACGCCAGACACACGAGATTTTGTGGATGAGTTGGATCCATTTTAATAACAATAGTATTAGATAGTATGACTTTAGTTTCTCACATTCCAAAAGAAACTTTCTCCGATAGTAATAAATTAATTCAATTCTATTTTGTTTTATTAAGGATATGAGTGAATCACTCATATCTCAAATGGACGGAATGAACTGACTAATAAAGAATCAATGGCGGTGGAACAAAACGATATAAAAAGCATGGAAAGAGGGTACTGTTGTAAAATCTCCCGGTTCTCCTCTCCTACCTCTGAGAACTCTCTGTATATCCGACCGAATAAAATATACCAACTGGGCTCAGACAAAAGCTCTGCCATCCAACTTGATGACGCCAACGGGGTTGTGTGCACGTTCACGTGCGACAAAGAAGCGAATGTTGTGATGGACGTGAACCCGAACACGACCGAGACGATAAAGATTAACAACAAAGTAGTGCCCAACAAAAACCGGTTAAATCATTTAGACGTGATCTCCGTCGGTGGCGGCCGTCTTCAGTTTTTCTCATTTTTCAATAACGGGAAGGTGAAAATGAACATTGGTGTTCTCCACCGTTTTCTGATCTTTAAGTACCCACATTTTAAAGAAGAACTCAACACTATAGAGGCGCACACGCAGAACATGCGCGAGTACCGCAAAGCATTAAAAAGTCTATTTGATGCTCTAGACAAAAAAGACAAAGATCGCGTCAACAAGTTTCGTGAGGTTTTACGAACGGTACTGACCATCATAATGGACGATAATCCGCCAGGGAAATTACAACTTGAATGTTTAAAATGTGGCTTTGACACCCGATATAACATTCAAAAGACACCGTCAATGCCAAAATCTGCTGTCGTCTCTGTTAACACACTTGGAACGCCTTTAGACACCAATTTGGAGCTTCCAACCACTGAGAAAAAATCGGTGACGAGCGAAAGTAGTGCGGCGCCAACACGAAATTCCATTGCGTTCAACTTCTTTGAGCAAAAAGATAAATCGATGATGGTCGATACCAATGCGTCCGTGTTACTGAACTTTGATAATATCGACGATGGGGACGAGTACGAAGAATTCAAGAATAAGACACAACTGCCGAAGATGCCGAAAGATATCAATTAGGCGTGTTTTATTAATGATTGACTTCAAAGTCTTCGATTTCAACTATTTCATTACTTTTAATTAGAATGAAACTAAAATGAATAGTAACGAAACCCAACTTCCATAGAAAACGAATTAACGGACCAACAAATCAGTAGACTTAAGCATACCCGAACTGCTTGAGGATTTTGACCTTCTCTTCGTATTTCTTGTCAGCCAAGACTTTTTCTCTTGCTTCCTTCATAGCAGTAGTTTTCTTGACTTTTGCTTCGTAGTACTTTTTGCCTCTAGCCTTTCTGATCTCTTCGTCTCTTTTGACGACGTCGGCGTATTTCCATCCGATGGCAGTTCCAAGGGTGCCGAGGAGGGTTCTCTTTCTAGTAGGGTTGTAGTTGTAGATAACAGCGGCTTCAGGGATCGAAGACTTCTTCATCTTGTCGTATGGGGCGGGGCATCCTTCGAAACATTTGACATGAGAAAGAGCAGACTTTCCTCTGAAATTGTGTTTGGGGAGCATTCCTCTGATCGCCTTGTAAACCATCTTGGACGGGGAACGTTGATGATATGGACCTCTCAATGGGTTTGTGTTGACTCTCTTACGTCTGTACATCTCCCACTTGACTAATCTCATGCGGAGGGTTCCACAGACTTCAAGCTGCTCACATCGCACTAAGACAATGCGGCGGCCTAACAACAATTGCTTGGCTACTGTCGAGGCTACGCGACCTAAGACGTGTCCTTTACAATCAACTACTATCACTCTTTTGCGCCCTTCCATGTCTGCAGAATTTCTCAGTTGCCCTAGTCAGTTTGCTCTACTTCTTTTTTCTTTAATTCTTTTACTATTAAGTTTAGGTTATCGGGTTTTTCTTGGCAATTGTTCTATTAATTGTTTTTTAATTTTATTAACTATTATTTGTAGCTTTTTTCGGCTTGTATTTGTTGATTGTTCGTGAAATAATATCGTTGTGATGGTTTGATTTAATTTAATTAAATTTAATTATTTCACTGATATAATAAAGTTTTATATATATTATATTAAAGTTGACTCATATTTAAAATTATAATTGAATGGTATAATCTGTATATAACTAAACTATATTATTGATTATAATTTATTAAATATAAATTACCAATGAAACTAGTATTTTTTTATTATAATAAATTTAAAATAAATTATTTTTGTTTTTTGTTATACATTTTTTATTTCAATAATAACAAATAATAAACAAAATATAATTATATTATTTAAAACCTTTAATTTATCATAATGAAAAAAATAATTGAAAAACCTCAAATATTTAATTTTTTTAAAATTAAAAGAAAATTTGTAAAAAAAGAAAAAAACATAAAAAGTAAATTAAAAAAGAGAATCCGAACTTTAAAATTTAGAAATTTGAGATGGAAGGAACGAAGAATCACTGTTTGTTATTCTGTGATTTTGATTTGTGCGGAATGATGGAAAACTTAAGCGGAGAAATTTGATGACTAACAATCAGGTGAGGTAGTTGTGTTACCCAAAAAGGTGACTGTTAATACAGAAGAGGGTTATGTCCTTAACTTTTTGTCAGCAGCATTGTTGCCAACACCAACCCGGGACAGTGAAGCCAAGATATACATTGTTCTCGAGAATAACCAAAAGAGATTGCTTGCCTTCTTAAGTGAGAAGCTTGGGATCTACCAGGAGAAGATACATTGTGAGGTTAGCGAAGAGAAGGTGATTTTCGAGATGAGAGGGAAGGGAACCGTCCATCTCTTTGGTGTAACTGATGTCACCATCGACGAGTGCTGCTCATGTGACGACATGTGCGATATGGAGGAAGAAGACCCAGAGGACAGTGATTTTGTTGAAAAGGGCGAGGTCGATGAAGGGATGGAGTGTGAGGATGATGATGAGTAAAATACTATTGAGCCACTTTTGAATGATTTGTTTAGGTTTTTTGTGACTTTTTTCATCACTTTTTATTGATTTTAATAATTTTAATTTTCATTCATTTTTTTCTATTAGATTTCTATTTGATATTATTAAAAATTAGTTTATAGTCTTAATATTTTTATTAAGTTTATTACTATTCAAAATAAAAAAAAGAAATGTGTTCTAACTATAAATAAACAGACTCTTTCAATACATGAACTTAAACTTATTCACTTTACAAATGTTAATAGAAAAATGACATATCGTTTGAATTTAACAATTTGTTGCGAGATTAACACACAATGCTGAAAAGATAATTATTTTCTATTGTCAAAAAAAACTAATAATAAAAATTATTAGTTTAATAATAGTTAATAATAATTACTAAGTAAACTATAAAGATAGAAATAGTCAATCGTTTAGATAAAAACCATTAAAAAGCCAATAAAATTAAAACAAATTGAAAAAATTAGAAAATGAATTATAAAACAACTATACAATTAACAATCAATAAGACATGAATAAAAATTAAGTATAAAAAGAAGTCTTTGAAACTGATAAGTCAAGTTGATGTTGGAAGAGTCACTCAGCCAATTGTCAGAATCTGTTTCGTCTTTGAATGACGTGGCACTAAAAAATGTTTTTCGTGATGTTGAAAATGTTTTACACGATTTGGCCCAAGTAAAAACCGTATTAGAGATTTTTGGGGTGAATACGTCGAGTGACGCATCTCTTTTCCTCTCAAGTCATAATCTCAAAGAGAAATATCAATCTGAAATCAAAAAAAGCTATGGACTTGGAACGCCGCTAAAAAATATATACAGCAAACTTTCCCGAAGTTTTGAGGCGAATGACTGGGATGATTTTAGTTTATCGGACGACGATTCGGATGAATATAGTAAACGAAGGGGGGAATTGTCCACTCTTTCTATAGCGAAAACAACACAGACAAGTGACTTGGTAAATGAAAAAGTGTTAATTAATCAAAATGAAGAAACAAACGAAAATATAATAAAAAACCCATTAAGTGTAACAACGAAGGACAACATCCCGATCAGAGATTTTTTACCAGTTGAAATTGAAGTTGATCAGGAAATGGATCTTCTCCGCTCGTGGGTTTCTGCTCAACACCTGTCTGTGTTGTTCGACTCAGATACTGAAAATTGGCGGATGGGGGATAAGGACTTTAGTGAAAAGCTGAGAGGGAAAAATCGGCTGTATGTTGTTGTCAGTGACATTTCCGGGAGTGTGTTTGGTGGGTATGCGGAGCATTATGAGATTGGGATGAGTAACAATAACAAGAATTTTGTTTTTTCTTTGCGGCGAAAAAATGTTATTTGTGCGCAAAAATTTTCGGCTTTGGAAAGTCGTGGTGTTGTCTTCTTGCCAGAAAAAGACGAAGATCAAAGACTTGTCTGCTTTGGTGCGGGATTGTGGGATCTCCAGATCTGTAAACAAAACGCTTTTTGGGTCGGGACGTGTGTTCAGCGATCTTTTGATTACTTGGGATTGGAACAAGCTCTTTGTGGGTCGAGGAATTTCTGCCCACAAAGAGTAGTTGTGTTGCAGTGCGACTGAAATATAATTGTTTTTAACTTAATTTACTAATAAGTATAGTTTTTTTGTATTGTCGAATCATTATAATTATTTATTATTATAATTAAAATTAAAATTTATTGTTTTTTATTGAATATATAATTTGAATAAATAAAAAAAATTCATTTTGTCAAAAAATCATAAGATTGAAATGGGTGGAACGAAAAAATGTATAAGGCGCGAATTTGAGAAGAAAAATATCCAATTTGAAGAATGACTGAAACCGTGGGGACAAAATTCAATAGAAAAATGTTCCAATTGAAGACTCACCTTCACATGAAAGAGAAGACACACGACACAGACTTGAGGACCGCCAAAGCACGAGTAACCGAAAACAAGAAACTGTACAAACAAATTCTTCATTGTGCAGAGGCGTTACCAGTCCAGGCGTTCACTCCAGTCGAAACGATGCGCCAAACAGCCGAAATGATCAACGACAAAAAAGTCGTCGAGATTTTGGAGTCTGTTGGAAAAATTGGGTTTGAAACGATTGAACAGGATTTGGTTGTGCCATTACGAGAGCACATCGAACACTATGACGACGTGCAAAGGAGGATCGATGATTGTCACAAGACTAGAATCGACATGGACAGACACAAAGAGAAGCTTGACAACCTGCTCAAGAAGACCAACAAACAGGGCAGAGTATCCGAGTTCCAAATTAAGTATGACGCGGAGTGTGATAGATACTCCAAAATGCGCTCGGAGATACTCGAAGAGACAAGGTATCTAGACGAAGAAAGAGACACCATTGCGAGACCGATAATGAGCAGTTTGCTGTTGTGTTACACTCTCTACCTTGACACAGTGAACGACAAGTGGCTCCAAATAAGAGACGTGTTGAAAGAAGTTCCTCCCAACTTCAAATTCTCGAAAGAAGAAAACAAAATCGTACCGATGATGGTTACAAAAGAACAGACTAAGCCGCTTTGCACGGTCCAGAGTTTGTACGATTTTGACGCAACTCAAGAAAATGAGTTGTCGTTAACTGAAGGAGATGTTGTGGATGTGCTCGAGGAGAACGGAGATTGGTGGTATGGCGAGATCAACGGGAAACGTGGGTACTTCCCCTCGAATTATGTCAGAACGATTTGATATGTTCTGTGTAGTCCAAGTAAACTATGGTTTGTAATTTCATTCAAGTTACCAAACAAATAAACATGAAATAAATCTCAATGAGTACATTCCACACGAATGCTTTGGTTGTCAACGTTAATATCGCCAACTGTTCCGCACTTTATACCAAACCCAGAACCGACAACAGGGTTATCAATTTCCAACGTTGCGACATCTTCTGTCACGTTTGCCTTGTAGTGTGTTGATAAAACCATGTCGTCCAACAACGTATACTGTTGTATTACAAGGATCTGTAGCTCGTCTTCATTTGCAAATTTTTTGGTAGAGAATATTGTATCATCCATCCCGTTAATATCAATACTCGACACAAATTCTTCGACAAAAGCGCCAGCGCCGAGTTTTGTAATGTTTCCGACAATATTTCGTTGTTCTGTAACGAAGTACTCTCCTTGGCACTTTACTCCCAAGAAGCACTTTTTCGTCATTTTCCCGTCGATGTTTTCTGACATGAACGAATTTCCTGAGTAAACCGTGTTTTCGCAGTTCTGTGAAACGCATTTTCCAATAGGGAAGAACTCCTTAAACGCCAGTTTAGTCGCTTCTTTGTCGACGAAGTACGTTCTTTTCAAAAAGTTGTTATTGCACTCTACAAAGGTTGTATTGTCATATTGTGTATTGCAGCTGCAATGGAATTCTTTAATTGGTAATTTACACTGTTCATCAGATGCTTCAAATTGCATGAAAGTTGCTACATTCATTTCGACATGAGTTGTATAACTTGCGGAGTTGTTATCATTTGTTTTATTTTGAAAGTTTTCACAGTCCATTTTTGTGTATAAAATAGTCTGCACTTCCGTCTGTGTGTTTTCGATATATTTATGAACGACGAACTCAATAAAGGAATCAAAGGAGAGATGTTCCTTTTCACTTTGAGTGATGACCGCAGTCTTGGAGTTGTCAGTGCAATTATCTGTGAGTTCAACATCAACTGTTTTTGTAGTGTTTTGACAATCAGAGCTGTTGTATACATTTAATATTATTTTATCTTCTTGTATATTACGTGTATATTGAATTGAAGTACCATCTTCTGTTGTGAATGGAATGCATCGATTGATTGGAAAGACTTCTTCGTATTGAATTGATACACATGCAACATCAGAGTAATAAGCTTTGAGATAATATTCAGTGTCTTTTTCATTACTAGATGATGACGTGTCAAAAGATGAATTGTTAGAGTCACTGGATTCTGTTGATTCTTCTGAAGGATATTGACTCTCACTTTCTGAGGAATTTTGTTCGGAAGATGTGGTATTTGAGTCACTTCCAATTGAATTTGACTCTGATGAAGTACTTTGTTCCTCGGAAGATTGATTTGAGTATGATGATTGACCACTTTGATCCGATGAAGAATCACAAGAAGAAGAGTTATTATAAGGTTCTTCACTTGATTGATTAGACTCTTCTGATAAAGAAGAAGATTCATTGGAGTATGATGATTGACCACTTTGGTCGGATGAAGTGTAACTAGAAGAAGAGTTGTTATAAGGTTCTTCACTTGAATTATTTGAATCATCTGAATAATTTGAGTTGTTTGAATTGTTTGAATAATCAGAAGTAGTAGAATAACTCTCACTGTCTTCATTTGACTGATTTGATTGGTTAGATTCTTCTGATAAAGAAAAAGACTCATCTGAAGAACTTGTCTGTGTAGAAGAAGACACTTCAGGTTCATGATCCACACAAGTATTTGTTAGAGTATCTACCCAATACCCACTTTGACATTTTGCACATTTGTTATCACTTGTGCATTCAATACACTTCCCTTGATCATTATCACACTTAAAGCAATGCCCATTATCTAGATAAGCACCATCAATACATTCTCTACACGTCTCACTGGTGAATGTACAGTAATTACAATATCTAATAGCAGTACACATCGCACATTTCGTTCTCATGTCTTTGTCATAGTACTTATTAGTATTCGATTTACATGTGCTACATGACAGAGAATCATTCGACATACAATCTTCACACGTCTCTACCATACTCGTGTCACACTGAGAACTGTATGTAATCGTTAATAAGAAAAGAATCAAGGGACACACTATCATATACTACTCTATCTGCTTTTGTTTTCTTCAGTCATCATTTATATAGAAAAACTCCTCTAATAATTTTCAACACGATTTTTCTTAACGCTCGTAAAGTGACAAATTCTATTTTATATTGTTTATTTTATTATTAAATAAAACTATTCCAACTTTCTGAAGTGTCGAAAAATTTCTTGAAAATGATTTATTGTTTCTTTATAATTATTATTTATCATTACAAAACTATTTAAATAGTTATTTATTGAGAGTCTTGTTATTTCTGATTATTTGTTTGCAAATATAGTTTATTTATAAGAAATATATTATAATTTATTTATGAGAAATTAAATTAAAAACAATCAAAAAACGAAAAAACGAAAAATTTTGAGTCGGCAAAACCGTCATTTTTGATTATTTTTTCATAACAAAAATAACGAATTGCCGAAGAAATTAAACTCTTACAAATTAGAAATTTAGTTACAATTCTATTATAGTTTTTTTAATTAAACTTTACTAAAAAAATATTTATCAAAAACTTTTTAGAAAATTTTTTAATTTTTTAATTTTTTAATTTTTTAATTTTTTAATTTTTTAATTTTTTAATTTTTTAATTTTTTAAAAAATAAAAGAAAATTAAAAAAAAATTTTTTTTCAAACAATTTCAAATTATTTTAATTAAAAATTATAAAAAAAACATCTAGAAAAGCCGAGAAAGTCTAAAAATTGTATAAAAATTTATATTTTTTTTTTGTCTTTTTTTTCATCTATTAATGTTCAAAATTTCAAAAAGAGTATCCACGTCAAGTCAGATTGGGAAAAGTGAATTCTCTCTGATATTGCATTTCAAACAAAATGTATTAAATGATATACTATAATATATTATTTTAAATGATACAATAAAAGAGAGATAGACAACAACGATATATAAAAGCCAAACTCAATCAAATCAAGACCAATGTCAACAACAGATAACACTGCTTTTACCAAAGAAGAAGTGATGTCTTTTAAAGAGCAGTTATTAAGTAATGAAGGGTGGAAGAAATTAACAAAGGAAGGAGAGGATCCTGAAGTGTATTCCAAAGCAAATGAGAACAAATTATTTACATTTAAGATCATCACTCATCAATTAAAAGATCTCGAGCCGGTTGAGATTTTTAATGCGCAGAACGACACGGCTTACGTTTTGTCCTTAAAAAGTGTAATAGTGAATAAAGAAGTGTTAGAAAAGATAGACGACTGTAATGAAATCATTTATCAAACTCAAAAAATGGCAATGTTAGATCCTCGTGATTTTGTGTTAAAAACGATTCGCTATCACAATAAAGATATGACAGAATTCATCACTTATTGTAAATCAGTCGATAATACTATTCCTATTAAAAAAGGAACTATTAGAGCTACAGTATACATCCAAGGCGGCTTAATCACTAAATCTGAAAAAGAAGGAACGACAGTTTACACAACTTCTTGCGTCGACTTGGCAGGAAATGTCCCACAAGCTATTATGGGCGAAACTATGACAAAAAAGATTTCTAAGAAAATGGTCACTAAAATTAAAGAAAACGTCCTCAACTACCCAAAGTGGGAGGAACAACACAAGGACGTCGAAAAGACGTGGCTCAAAACTCTCGACTGGATGAATTGAAGGGACACTATTTATAGTTTATTATAATTTGTTTTTACTATAATCAGTTCGAGTAATAAATATAAAAATATAGTTAATTTTATTATTTATTATAATTATTTATTTTTAATTATTCATTATAGTAAGAAATAAGATAAGATATCGGTTAAGAAAAGAAATAAGTACTCAGTTTTTTTCTATGTTTATTGATTTTGCTCACCGATATTTTTTTATATGGTTTATTTAAAAAAACTTTAATTTAAATATAGTATAATAATAGTTTTGTCATTGTTTTACAAAAAGAGAAAAACAGAAAACCTAAAAATGTTATGACTTTTCTTCGAAAAATCAGTTTTTTCAAAATAAAAACAAACATAATAAACCAATGTTATTATAGTATCAATACAATAAATTATACCATTAATACACCAAATAATAAACGAAGTGGATTAACTTATTGAAAACAAAAATCGTATCTCTGAAACTCAACACGAAAAGACAAAAATTTCCAAAATTCCACTTTTTTGAGAAAATGCCGAACCCTACAAAGAAAAAACAAAGGAAGTATACTAGGGTTATGCAATGAACTGAAGAAAAGAGAGAAACCGACTTGGAGGAAGTGGTCCTGCGATATATAAGGGCGTTTGAATTCTGAGAAACACAGAAGTACGATGACCGACAAGAAGACAACAACACCAAAAAAGGTTCAAAGTGATGCGACGAAACCGAAGAAAGTTGCCGATGATTCGAAGAAACGCGAAGTCAAGAAGAACTTTGACTCCTATGCGCTTTACATCTCACGAGTTCTGCGCTCCGTCTTCCCAGACATTGGAATCACACTCCCATCGGTCAGTGTGATGGACTCTTTCGTCAGAGACGTGTTCGAGAGAATCGCTATCGACGCCTCAGCACTCTCAAGAAACTCTGGAAAGGCAACAGTCACACAAAAGGAAATCGAAACAGCTACAAAACTCATCTTACGTGGTGATCTCTCTAAACATGCACTTTCTGAAGGAAATTCGGCTGTTCTTAGAGCACAAGGCAAAGCAATCACTACCAGCGCCTCTAACTAATTTATGTTCGTTGTTATTAATATTATTATTATATAGATTATTATCTATACCATTTTTTAAATATTTACTATTCTTATTTTTTTTTAATATTAATACTAAAATACTATTATTTAAAAACACTATGAGAAAATACTATTACTGTACTATTGTACTCAATTCTTTTTCGTATAATTTATTGTTATTCTTATCATATATTATAATTTAATAATACTCCATTTGAAAAGTAATTTAAATATTTTATAGCCATTTGCCAAAATTTCACAAACCGTAATGGTTGGCAAATTTTGAAAAAGGTGATAATTTGCCAAATTATAATTGTAGTGAAAAAACTATATTTTTTAGTTAAATTAATTTATATATATCGATTCCCTTATCTGTATAGAAAAATAAATTATAATTTATACATAATAAAATAATATATTATTTGATTTTTTTTTCAATTGTGACGACTTTATGGGAATTAACAAAAATGTTTTAAAATAATCTTAACCATATTTGTAAAATGCCAAAACAAAAAAATGAACAATTTATGATGAATAAAAAACATACAATCATTTATTTTAAATTATTGAAATTAAAATATGTTAAACCACTTTTATGAATATGTTTGTTTGCGTATTTGATGATTTACATTGTAAGTTGTATTGTATCTCAATTATTAATAAAAATGAATAATTGATTATTGTCACTCAGAACAACATTTCATCATTTTATTGTTAACAACTTTAAAATTTCAAATAATAATGCATTCAATTTTTAGATGATGTAAATTAGGTTTAATATCTTATGTGTATGTACATGGGAGCTTTAAGTCTTACATATAATTTTAGTTAACTATGATATTCTCTTTATTTTAGTGTTATCATTTAAAGATAACACTAAGTTGTTTAGTGTTATCTTTGATGTTACATGTTTACATACTTAAAAGTTACCACATTTTATTTTTTAAGCTGTTTTTTAATAAAAACATTATGATTAACCGGCCAATAGTATTTTTTTTCTTTGGCAAAATGCACGAGACGCAAAAAATTGCGTTTTTTTTTCTATAAATATAAAAATGAGAAAAAAATTCTAAAAATAATTTACATATAAATTTGCTATTGTATGAAGAGGCATCTTTCAGCAGTTTTCACATTACAACAAGAGACCAGACACTAGGTTTTTACAATTATTCTAATGCGATTTTAGCTTTAGGTCTGAAACATAATCGACCAATTTTTTTCCCAGACACTAGTAATGAGTAGAAAAATCTTTATCATAACTGTGACAACATCGGAGCAGCAAGACAAACTTATTACAATTAAATTTTTCGTTGATTTGTGCGGCAGAATGGGTTTACAAAAGAATTGTTAGTTATTTTATTTAAAAAAAATCTAAAAATAATTTTACACATTTTATCTAAACAAAAACAATAACCAAAATTTCAATTATATTTTTTTAAACGCGTTTTTTTGCGTCTCGTTTATTTTAATCAGTTAACAGTGATATCTTTTATACTAAATTTTTATTTAATATTTTAAAATTGATAATCAATAGTTGACTACTTTAAACATTTTCGTTTATGAAGTGGTGTTATTGAAATATAGTTGTAATAATTGTCTGTTGTAATAAAAAAGATAAAACGATAGTCAAAAAAATCGATTATATACAATGTTAAGCTTAAATGAATTCAACAAAAAGTAGTTTAATGTAACTTTTTGTATTAATGATTTTTGTGTGCTGACTATTATTTCTTCTTTTTACCAACATGTTAAGTGTTGTTTTTGTGTGTGAAATTGCTTTAGTATTTTTGATAATTATATTTATTATAATGTATGGTTGTTTTTCTAATAGTGAATGGTTTTCAAATGGTTGTAAATAATTAAAAGTAATAGTAAATGATATTGAGGTATGTAATTATTTGGCTAATTTTCAGGTTAATAATATTTTAGAAAAGACTTATTATTATTATTATTATTCTTATTATTATTATTATTATTATGATAATTATAATTATAATTATAATTATTATCACTCTTTACTTTCAATACAGAAACCAAACATTAAGTGAGAACCAATTAATTATTGAGTAAAGAATATCATTTGTTGTTATTGGTCACTCAGAAGAGTATCGAAAAATCATGGATTGTCATTCAACTTTTTCATCATTGTGGCGATTAGATGACAAATTTTTTTGTTTTTATACCCAACCTTTGTTTTTTCCATAAATTTTTTTAATTATTTTAATACTATTTAAACTATACACATTTTGAAAATACAAGCCAAAAATCAACTGATTAAATTAATAAATACTTTTTTCCTATTTCTATTTTAGATATAGACAATTCTAGTAAATATAATAATTTTATTATAAAATAACTATTGTCAATAATGTATTTTTGTTATACAACGAATAGATAACTGGTTTGTCATTTAAAAAAAAATTTTTCTTTAAATAAATATTTAAATAAACAATTTAATATTAAAATAACTTTTAATATTAAAAAAAATAATTATACATTCAACTTTATGACAAATAGATGCTTATTTGTGTTAAAAGAGACACTTTTGACTGGTATTGTTGATTTCGAAAATGTGTTGGAGTTCATTATCATTTCATTGTATTATAATTGTATTATATTTAATTAGTTATATCAATTATTAAATAGACAATATTTGAATAGAAGATGATTTTTTAATTACTTTTGGCTGGAATTGTTTAAGGTCTTTGTGATGCAAATGAGTTCCTTCCAACAAAAACCACTCACCTTCTCCTCTGATGGAGAAAGTGAGTGTGTGGTTTGTTATTGTCGACAGTATCTCTAAAAAGAGTATTGTAACTAAAAGTATAAAAAAGAAAACAATAAGTAAATTAAATACAAAAGCATCAAACTCTAGTCTTAAAACCATAAGCTGAATAAGAATTGAATAAAAAGAAAGTGAAACATGTGAGTAGAAAATACAGACTGCGGTTAGTCGTCGTCTGCCAGGAACGAAGACTTTTTCATGAAGTCGTGGAGAGACTCGAGGTCGAGATCGTCATCTCTTCGAAGTTTTCTCATCGGCGCGTCCATAGCGTCGTTGAGCATAGCGTCTTGTGCGAGTGATTCTGGGAATGGGATTTCAGGCATTGAATCTGCCTTACTTGCTTTTTCCAGGATCATATGATCCTTTCGTTCCACGTCACTCATTTGCTTTGTCAATCTCTCAAACCTTTCCGGTTTCTCAATCTTCTCATTTTTTTTGGAGTAACAACTCAACCCGTTGTTGTCTTTTTTGAGAGGTTGTCTATGAAGTTTCTGAGATGGGAAGAACGGCTGCGCCTGTTGGGAAAGCTTGAACTCGGTGAATTTTTGAGTTCCCTGGAGATTGGGTGTGTTGACATTTTGACAACGTGTGGCGGAAAGGGGGGATTGATGAGGCGAAATTTGGAAGGGGGTGAATGAGTAAGGGGTGTTGCTCGAGCTCGACTTGAAAGCACTCAAATGCGACGAGTATTGAGGCGTCGACATATCAGGAGACGAATGAAGAGCTTTAAACGACCTTTTCTTCTCCTTTTGCTCGTCCTTCTCTTGCCCTCTGTCTTGATACTTAAATGTGAAAGAAGGGTCAGAAGACTCCCGAGCATTCTTTTGATCCTTTAATAAGTCTCGTGACGGCTCGCGGAGCAACGGTTTGATTGACATCGAGGACGCATTGAAAGATTCTTTCTTTGTCGGGATGGAATTCTCCGATAATTCCACTGTGATGATTTGTCCGTCCCAATTTGAGTTGTTCTCCGCTGTAATTGCGTCGGTGGGGGATAACGTGTTGTCGTATTTAACAAAGGCGTACGCCGTTGTCTCTGTTGTTCGATTAATGATCGTCACTTTTTCGATGACGCCGTACTGATTAAAACGGCGCTCAATTTGTTTTTGCGTCGCTTGGAGCTTTGAAAGGTTACCGATAAAAATTGTGTATTTGTCTGCTTGGCTAGCTCTGTGGATTTGAGACCGCGCCCATTCCACAACGTAGTTCTTTTTGAATTTGTGATACTTGATGTGAGTGTTATTTATTTAAGAGCTCATTCCACCACTTTCAAAATGGGTTTACTCATTTGGTAGTTGAATTACCATACATAATAGTACTTTGTATTATTATGTCTGGTACTTTAAGACCGAAAAAGGTATTACACAGAACAAACATTATAACAACTGACGGCATCATCTCTATAGACAAATTTGACAAATCCACACCCTTTTGATTTCTTCGTCTCTCTGTCGAAGATGATCGTAGCTTCGTCGACTTGCCCGAACTTCTCGCACTCCTCTCTGAATTGTTGTTGTGTGACTGACCCGCCCATTTTCGCAAAGAAGAGAGTCATTTGAGTCTTAGCTTTTTCTACTCTGATTTGGTGCCCATCTATATACACAGGCACCTTCTCTAGTGCCTTCAAGACTCCATTGTCCGTTGCAAATTGGATATACGCCGAGTTTCCTTTGCTCTGTGGTTGTAACGTGACTCGTAAGATATCGTCGAAACTCTTCCATGTAAGTTCTTTCAAAAGACATAACAAAACCAAACTGAAAATGTTTCTCGTAAACGAAGATCACTAATAGAAGTGGGAAGGTTACTCACGTATAAGACACTCTGGTCGCATTGAACATACTCTTGCATCAGTTTTTGCTCTTCACAGTTCTGCGTTCCGTTTAGTCACTCACCCTTTCAAATCTACCGTGGTACTATACTTCTACTATATTTTTACTATCAGTAGTCACTCTTTTTGGTTGGACATTTGTAAAGCCAATTGCTATGTTGCTATTGGTGATTTTCTTCTTGCTATAAAAGAAGTACTAGATAAGTACTAGATATTACTATTAAATTGTAGCATTCTTCTCTTACTTTTTCTTTATTCAAACCAGTGGTACTATTAATATCGGAACTTCTGATTTTGATCAAATGTTCCCGATGATGTAAATGTTTTTTGATGTGTTCCAATAGTTTTCGGCTTTTATAAATAATAGAAAGAAATTATTACATTTTATGTGTTCGATACTTCACCAACTCAAATGTCCCGATTCATTAGGGGTTTCAAATGTCGCAAAAAAATCAACACAAATCAAGGATTAGAGGTTACTAGTTAACAATGGTTTGTTTAACTATATGTTTGTTTCTATCAACCACAATATTTTTAGTAGTCGGGTTCCTATTTTTGAATTCTCAACAAAATAACAAAAACCATAGATATACTATTAATTATAGTTATTGATAAATAAAAAAAAGACAAATAGCCACACCATTCCATGATTTGGTTCTTTCAAATTTCCTGTTTTTGTGAATTTGTTTAATTATTATTTTTTATCATTTGATTACTCTAATTAATTCTCCAAGAAGTTAACCTTCTACTCTCAAAAATATAATAAATTTTACTACAATTTATTACTACAATTATTCAAAAAATGAAATTTCAAAAATAACAAGAAAATAAAACTATAAATAACCAACAAAATAGTAAAAAGAGAAGGTCCAAAACATCATTCAATTTTTAATCACTGGCACCTTGTTTTCCGGGAAGTACTCGGCTCGAATGAGTCTCATATTAAACCATCTCAAGTTAAGTACTGAAAATGCTTTTTGAGTATCTAAAGCTGTTTCACAAACGACATAGACGACGCCTTTAGGGTGATGGATATCGACAATCACGTCTTTCACGCGGCAGTATTGCTTTAATTCCTCGAACACATCATCCCTCAATTCCGCCTCAAATCCACTTTTTTCTTTTGCTAAAGAGAACATGTTCTGAACAAATAAGGCTTTTCGACCCTCTTTATTTTCTTGATCAAACACCGTTCCGCCACCCTGCAATCTTTGCATCATCATCTCTTTTGTTCTTTGCGCTAATAACTTCTCATCATCTTCATTGATACAATCTGACCCATTCTCTTTCACCGAAAAGACTTCCCACTTGACGTTTCCGAATTTTCGGCCGTCGTATAACTCAATAGCTTTTTTAGCTTGTTTTATAGTTTCGAATTCTATAAGTGCGCAATTGAAATCTCCATCTCTTTTCAACTCTCTTTTGACGATCGTTCCGGTCACTCCAAAGACCTGATTAATATCGTCCAAATCTAATTGTTTAATTAAATTTCTAACTCGAATAGTTTTACTTTCCAGTGGCAAAGCAGCCACTGTTGACACGTTTCTATTTTGTTGAGAATTTGAATCGGCCACAAACAAAGGAATTCCTTCTTTAAAAAATTTCCCACTCATATTTATAGCTTTATTAGCTTCTTCTATAGTTTGAAACTCCACATAACCAAACCCTCGCGAATGTTGAGTGATTTGATCGATGATTTGTTTAACCGTCACTACCGTTCCGGCAGACTTAAAAAATGAGATGATCTCACTGTCTGTCGCTTCCGTCGTTAAGCCACGTACAAAGACGGTACGACGTTCTCTTTCCAGCTGCTCTAATATCGAGTTCCGTTCATTTTGCTCCTCACGATCCCGGCTCTCCTCATGACGCTCTTCTGCTTTCTCCTTGTTGAATCGGTCTCTCCGCTTCCAGCTCTCACCCCTTTCACGGGACGAACTCCGGCTTCTGCGCTCATGGTCCATAGATATCTCTAAATTAATTAGTGCCATTTCTTGGGGTGAAAAGAGATCACGAATCTTAGGTATATTTATTGTCACGTGTGAGGTGATTTTCCTAAAAATAGACCAAAAAAAGACACAAATACACAAGTTACTGAGACGTCAGCGAAGAGACGGTGAGGCCATATCCACCGAAGCTTCCATTAATAAATGAGTCGTTTTGTTCCTGTTGATATTCCTCCATCCCCTCATAGTTCTGTGTACCGTTCTGATTTCCTTGTGTATTTTCCTCATTGCTTCCAGTCATTTGCATCTGAGTCTCTAGATTTCCCTGTGTTATAGAAAGTTGTTGCAACTGGAGGGGGACATTATTTAGTATCTGAGGGCTTTCCAAGACGTAGTCAGTATTTTGGATATTGTTCATTTGATTCAGAGAGAGCTTGCCGATCTTGAAATTGAGTTCTCCGGTTGGATTAATGAGTTTTGCGTCCAAATCTGCTTGTTGTACCTTAATAGGAGAGTTCTGGAGTACTGGCAAAACGACGCCATTACAGAATTTAGTAGTATCCATAACAGTGAAGCAGTTAAAATTAAATCTATTGCAGTCTTTAATATCGACATTTCCTAAAGAGTTTTCGATCTTTCTTAAGATGAATTCATTTTCTTCAATAAGCTTCTGTGGGTCTCTTGTGATCAATCCCGCAGTGTTCTGTGGTGTTATACTTTTTCCTTTAGTAGGTCTTTTATATCTTGGAGAGTCATAGAAAGCTTCTCCATGTTCTCTTGCACTCTTAGGAGTTCGTGGAGATCTTGAAGGTGAATCTCTTCGAAGACGTTCACTTTTAGCTCGTGGACTTAAAGTACTTTTAATGAAGTCTTCCCATGTCGTGATCTTTTTCTCTTCTATTAATTTCATATATTGAAGTCGTAAAGAGACGTCGCGAAGACGTTTAGTAGGTAAGTTAGTTAGTAACAAAGCTAATCGTTTAAACTCCGTATAACTCTCCGCTGGGTATGTCACTAAATTCTCATTCAAAACACTCTGCTCAGCTTCACTCCATGACGCTATCGTCTCCATCTCCATCGTCGAATTAAAGCGACTCGTTGCTTTGATTCGACTCATCCCACGTTTGCTACTCTCGGCTCGTGACATCTTTTCTACTTTTTTAAATGGAACTTATTTCCTATTATAAAATCCTCATCTTTGCCGCTAATTTTTACTTCAGCAAAAACACGAATCCCCAGTTGGGTAATTCTTATCTAATTTCTTCAAAGGGTTTTTTGGAAGAAAAGTTACCTAATTTTAAAGGATATTGGCATCGGCATTACTTGTATCGTGGTAACGGTGGTTCTTTGTTGCCTTCGAATTAATTCATAAATGAGTAATATACTATAAACATTCTATCGTTTATTAGTAACGATTATCGTATTGAAAAAAGTATTATATGTTTAATTAATAATATAGCATTTTTAATTAAGTCGTTCAATGAATGGTAGTTGTTTTTATAATTGTTTTTATTATTTAAATGATTAACTTGGTAATTAATACAATAAATGTTTTTTATATTGTTTTTTTGGTGGTTGGTAATAGAAGGTTGAAACAAAAACAGACTCCATTCTATTTATTAAAAAAATTATAATTTGATAATTAGAATGTTATTCTTTTTACTATACTATCTTTTTAACCATTTTATCAAATAAACTACGATTTGATAAATGTACTACAAACTTAATTATAACTTATAGAATTGTCTTTTTTTCAAAAATCAATTTTTTGATTGAATTAATAAAAATAGTATTTTTTGTTATAATTTTTATTACTTTATAGAAATCATATGATATTGCTATTTTCCAATGTTGGTTTGTAACTTTTTTATGTCATTGTTTTTAAATCATAAAAATGTAAATTATAAAATATAACATTTGTTATCTTAGATTTTTTAAGTTTTTTAACATTTCAAAATAAAGTTAAAACAATTTGTATTTTTAAAAAGTGTTGAGGTATTGCTTTTTTTTAATAATATATTATTAATATAATTTATTCAAATTTGATAAAAACACAAATTAAAAACAACAATTAAATTCTAATTTAAATTATTAAATACAATTATTAGATTTGTATAAATTTTTTATTATAAATAAATTATACCCTCAAATTGTATTAAATATTTATAATACATAATAATACATAATATTAATACATTTTTAGTTATTTAAAAATAATCAAAAAAATAAAACATTTCAAATCTTGTTTATTAAAAACAAAGTTAATATTATCTTTTTAATTATTAAAACTAGTTAATATATTAACTATTACTTATCTAAATATAATAATTCAAAAAAAAAGAAAAAACAAAATCATTTCTTTGCGAGTGATGCAAAATCGATCATTTCTGTTTTTTTCTTTTTAC